TTTTGTCGATTGAACAGGAAAATTGGTGAAAATTTAGCGATAGATAATTGAATGGACTCTCATTCTGTCTCTCTCTCTCTCTCTCTCTCTTTCCTTTGTACGAAGAATCAAAACAACAAATTGCGTGTCTAGTAATCCATAATTACTATGAAAATAATTTTGATCTACTCTTCTCTTATTGGGTAAATCAAGTGCAGTCGATGAAACCATAATGATAAGGCAATTACGTTTTCTTTTATTGAGGTTATTAAAAAGCCACCTTTAATGGTTTCAGTGTACTTGTTTCTTAATGTAGACTAAAAGGCAGGTGTATGCAGAGGGCGATGGTCACACGCAGTTCCTCAGGAACTTTATTCCTTATCTGCTCTTGTATAAAAAGAACACATTGAATTGCAATATTTCTTGCATCTTTTCCCAATATTCTTCGTTTAAAGCTTTACGAGCAAGATTTCTTTTCGTTCAACACTTAATAATCACTATTTGATCTTTTACTAATCCATCATATCCAACAACCTCCCTCGATGTCATCGCAAGTCGAAACATGGAGCTTTCACGATTTGTTTTCTTCTTTCTCTCCCTCTTTCTCTCTCTCTCTTTCTCTCTCTCTCTCTGTCTTTTTATTTTACAATATTAATTAAGCGTGCAGTCATTACCAATAATTAATATACTTTGAGATATAGGATTGAAATATACGCTATAATAACAGTTGTAACTTACAGATGGAGAAAGATAAAGGAGCGAGTTAAAAGTTTCTGTGGATGACAAGTAAATATTTTCTATTGTTCCATTGCGTAGCCAACTGCCGTAATAAGGATGAAACGTCTAAAGTAGTTGAAAACGAATAGGATGTCGAGAGCTGATGTGCAATCGATTATCTTTGAATAATAAAAGCTGTTCTATCACTTCCAAGAAATAACAATTAATTCTAGCAACGTAATAATTGTCTAAACGTTTTGGTGAAAAACTTCGAAAAATTTACTGGCGTTTATTCGCTTTGAATAAATCATTGTTAGCTCGTCACGGTATTCGATCAGAACGATTCAACTGAATCATACAGCTTAACATCTATTTACATGGTTTGTCTTTGTTTACGCAAAAAATGATCTAGTTTAACCTCTCTACAATAATAATCCACGAAATCAATTCGAAAAATCCCTTATTATCTCCTACTTTTCTCTGTTATTACGAAATCTTTTTTTGGGAAAAATCAATGGCGCTGTGTCAGTGTTTGAGCATTAAATACGTTTAAATAAAATTCTAATGATTCTTGTATATCAATACTTCAACAGGTCAATGGAAGAAATACTCTCTGCATACGGTATTTTTAGTATACACTGTTGGATATTTAATTAAGATTTCACGATTCGAAATACTTGAAAGCAAATTCTATTTATTACTGGGAAGAATTAAACGATTACTCTTCGAGTTCTTTCTCCGAAATAAGGTGTTAATAGGAGTGTAGAGGAAGTAGATGGGGAATATTGTCTGTGCACTTAGATCGAGCGTTTGCTACCTTCTCAGTTAATTGGATATAATATAGAGAAAAATTGAAAGGAATAGGATAAAGAGAAGATGATCTGCCTCATTTGAGATTCATTGATGAGAAAGACTGTAAAGTACTGTTGGTTGACTACTAATGGGAAAATATTTTCAAAAATATCAGTCGTAATATGCTATTACCAATAGAATGCTATGCTAATTATTGTAATATTACTATAAATTCAGCTAAAATAACTCACCTTTGCTTTGATTAAGGAAAGTTTTTAATAAAAAAAATCATATAATTAGACAATCTAAAGAGAATATTAGCTATTTTTCCAACAGTTGTAGTGTTCTTGTTAGAGAAGCCGAGAGTATTTATCTAGTGGGGATAGGAACAATAGATCAAAATATACACTATATTGATATTTATAGCTAAAGTTGGACCGTTTGGTGGAGACTTTTCATTAGCTATAGTAAAAAATTGCGAAGAAGTTGCATGATAGTAAAGCATCTTTTACATCTGTCGACGAAGTAGCTTTATAGGAGAAATTGTAGTATCATCCAACTATAATATTTAGCATATGAAGAGAAAAAACGTAAAAATTCATATTGTTTCTCTTTTGAAAAAGACGAAAATTGATTTATTTATTATTTATTGAATCACAATCGACGGTATTCAAAAGCAAAACAGTTTCAATGTTCGATCTTCTTCCCATACTAAAAGGTGGACATTAATAGCAGAACCTACGGAAAAATTCCTATTAATTAATAACTTTTTTCTTAAGAGCTATTGTTCCGGCTTTCTTTGAGGCTATTTAGAATAAAACATAGCTATTCGCAATTTTCTATCACACACTGTATCTAGTTGCATAAATTTCCTTTTAAAACAAGAAAACATTTCAATTCATAAGTAGTATTTTAATCATTCATCAATATTATTGTACACAACATGGAAGGGAATACTGTTCTTTCTCGCTGTGAGACATAGCTTTAGGCAATAATAATGGCTTTCATCTACTCAAAAACCACGTTCAAAATGTCAGAAATTTCTATCGACAAGTTAAGGAGCGTGTGTGTGTGTAAGAAAGAGAGAGAGAGAGATGCTGCTTCTGATAGTGTTTTCGATTCAAATTATCCTCTTAAACTTCTCTCTTTGTACACTTACTAGGCTTTATGAAAAGCTTTATAATCTGGAATATATAAATTTTAGTACAAATACCCTTTCATTAAAAAGTATGAGAGTTAAATTAACAATTTATTAAAAGCTTACAGATATAATAATAAACAAAGTCCAGGTGTTTTACCAGGTGATGCTCTCATTCATCGTAACATTTTCGAGTTTACTGTAGGGCGTACTGTATATTTACTATATAACAATATAAATGAATACATTGCCGTTAGGCATTTCTTTTTTAAAACGTTCAACCATGAAACTTGCTTTATTCATCTAAAAAATAAACTTTAAAGTGCAATTCGTTGAAACAAGACTGACTATCTAAACTAATACCTTTATCCGAGACATTGATAAATGATTAATCAACAAATTCATCTTCGTAAAGATTATTCATATTAGCGGCTTAATCCAAAACTGTAGATTATTCGCTTGATAATTAAATATCGCAGATAATTATTTTCTATACCTGGTCTTTTTCCAAGGAAGAGTCATTGTCCAATTTCAAATGAATACTAATTTAGTTTACATCTTTTTCCTTCAACTATAATTTCCAATGAATGGAAAATTATTGAACAAACTAAGAGAGAAGAGAATAGAATGACAGTAAGAATAAATATTGAATTGGTAGAAAAATATTCCAAAAATTAACGCCGCTATTGTCTGTAAATATTTTAATGCGACACAGTAAGCCATTTATTGGAATTTTTTATTGAAAAGTTACCATTTTTTATACTATTAGACGCTTTATAATTAAATTAATGAAGAAATAATTTCGAAATAAGTTTGATACTAATTGGCTAATTAAATAAAACTGTGGCACTTTTGGACTATTAATAATCTCAAGATTACATCATACCATTCCTAAGTATCAGTTTTTTTTAACCCCGTAAATTTTAGATACGGCACTTTGAAATAACGTTGAGGAGATCGACTATTACTTTTATTCAATAGACAAATTTGACTGATTTTGAGATAAATGGTGGAACGCCTTTATAATGAGATTTATGGAAGCGTCACAATATTCCATTAGTATTCTGAGAGCTTTTTCCAATGAAAGTTGTTAAGTAACGTCTATTTTTATATAAAGAGTTGTTCAAAGCGTCTATTTGGTTAGTTTATTCAACATAAATATCAGTCTATTAAAGTGAATGAATGAATATAATAAAGGGGGAAAGCACCAATGTATAGACACTTCATAAACATTATAAATAAATACATGAACAATCTTTTTCAGCACATATAAACAAGATATATTTGATATATAGTATATATAGTATATACGGTACATATACTAGCATATACATAAATCAAATGACTTCCTAATCATTGTTTAGCCACTCTCGCTCCTGATCAATTTCCCTGACTTTATGTCACTTTTTTATTAATAAATTACTATTTACGAAGCTGTAAATTCATTTAACCTTATTCGTTTTTGCTCCTATTCATTATTAATATTTTTATAACTAGAAATGTCTGCCACATAAACGTATTTTCTTAATTAAATGAGCAAAAAAAAAGAGACAATCTCAAAACTATTCTCTATTCATTTGTCATAAAAAGCAAATGTTAATTAATATTGTCTTTAAAAGTATAAAATCGTAAAACAATACAGAAAGGAAATATGGCGAAAAGTAGACATGTAAATGATACAGAGATTCTTGTTCTGATTGTTGCTTTGCGGACGGAGAAGGAGATGAAAAAAAAAGAAAAAAGGCAATTTTAAACGAATTAAAAGTGTTTTCGAGAATGAAATGGGAAGGAGAATAAGCGAAAAGAGTTTAACGCGAATTGATTGTTTTGTGTTGAATTATTCCTATTTAGGGAACAAGGTAACATTTCTAAAGAGTAAGAGAGAAAAGCGAGGACAAAACAAACTCTTTTTTTGGTAACGAATATAAATCGTATTTGACAAACCCCATAAGTGCTTTATAACAATTTTAACAATGGTGGTCCCAGTTAAATTTCTTAGCGACCGACAGATGGCGATTAGAAGAAAAAAGAGTTTTGTTAGTTTAAGTAGAAGGAAACAGTATCTTGAAAAAATATATAATATAACTGATGTTTCTTATTTTATTTATCACCTTGGTAATTGCGGATTGGTTAAAAAGAATTGTATAAACAGCAGGGGAAAAAAATAGCATCTACTTTCTCAAAATAGCTTTTTAGAAGAAGTTGAAAGTAAAAGAAGAATCGGGGAGGGGCAGATTGATGATTAGTTTTCTCTTTGAAATTATACCAATAATTACTTAGATGAGAAAATAAAGGATTACCTAATAAGTAAGTTTGTGTGAAATCGCCGCTAGACGTTTTTAGTGGTGGCTCTGCTCACTGGAAAATGTATTGCAGTCGGCCGCTATGCGTCAGCTAGCGTTTATCGCTTTCCTCTCCTGTGTTTATTCGAAAGAGGAGATATTTATTGGCGGACTATTTCCCTTATCTAGAAAATCTAATGATAATGATAAGGATAACAGCAAGATAGGTTTAGGAATATTACCAGCGGTCGAATTGGCTATGGAGCATGTTAATAGTCATCGACAAATATTAAATAAACAAACTTTAAGGATAACCTATAACGATTCTATGGTTAGTATTCATAAAAACTGGATTAAAAAACACTCTTTCATCTTTCCCTTCTCGTTTAAAAACTTTTACAACAGCGTAAACTGTCTTCCTTTGCCTTGTCTTATTTTCTCTGCGTTCTTTCGCTTTCGAGACGAAAGTGGTGACATCGGCGCTCATTAATTTGCAAGGTGAATGGAGCGAAGGTTAAAACCAGAAGCTCGCTATTAGTGATTTTTCGTCTACTATATTTACAGTCTATCCCTATTGTTAGAGAAAAACTGTAGATAAAAGCGAATAAATCGTATAGGAGAGACTGATAAGAATCTTTGCCTAAGCCTAAAAAATTATTTCTCTCTTCCAGTTTATCTCTTCTTACTTACCTTTATACAGTATATACTGCATTATATATATATATACTAATATATTTCATTCATTCACTTCTTATCTTCTCTTCTCTCGCTCTTTTTTCATAATATTCTCCTTGTATTTTTCAACTTTTTACTTTTCGCATTCGAAGACTAATTCCTAAATATTTAATTAATCCTTAAACCTTTTTTCAATAACAAATTTACATTAATATGAAAAAATAATGAAGTTTATTTTTGGTTTTTACTCTGAAATTCAAAAATAAGTCTCATCTTTATTTTCTCTCCGTTGGCCTTTCAGTTATTGGAATGGATGTTTGTACTAGTTTGTCATGTTTGTTTGCAATTATTTTTATGTAGCTTGTTGATATATATATAATGTTTATTAGTTCTGTTTGTGGTAGAATTTCTGGTAGCTTTTATCATTCTCTCTCCCCGGTCGAACTGGGAATTGACAAGAGGAGAAAAACACATATGAATGTTGCTGTTGAGTTGACCTTCAAATTTAATATTTCGTTGTGAATGTCAGATAAAACGCCATGCCTCAGGGTCAGAGCCTTTTAGTGTTAGGATTTTATTACTAATTGCATTTTTTATTATTAATTGCATAGTAGAAAAAAAACAAAACAGAAACAGTATACTGATTGAGTAAATAATTTAATAGTCATGGTTGCATTCCTTTAAAATACCTTTTAATAGACCCGAGATTATTAGCGAGATTTAGTCGTTATGCATTCCCTTATTGGTCGGCTATTCTACCTCTTGCTCTCTTATTTATTCCATTTCCAAGTGTAGACTCATTGACAACCAGTAGCCTACGAAGTAAGCCTTGAATATATAAAACGCATCAAACCTAGTAGGCCTCGCAGTAATTAAACTGGAAGATGCCTTCAAAGATATTTTGTCTGAATACATACGTAACAATAACAATAAGTTAGTAATTTATTATTCTTTGTTGTTTTCTTAACGATCCCTCTGTTTGATATGTAATAAGTTGGATGGTGAAAGGGCGGGAAGAAAGAAGGTAATACAGAGCGTAAATATAAAATAGAAACTAGGTTATGATTTTGCGAGTTTTTCTTTAAGATTCATGTAGAAAGAAAGCTTATATAGAGCGCTTAAAGTAAATAAATAGACATATTATAGGTTGTAAATCTACAGCACATAAAACCAAACACTACGTTTGTTTTGTTTTCTTGCTACTTAATTAGCGTTTGCTCAATTTACGCCTTCAATTTCACGGTCGATTAAACAAGGTGAAAAATCAGTATGTAAACATGGTAAAGTGACAATCGGGAATTTGTCAGTTTTTTCATTACAAACCTACTTTATTTGTCAACTCCTAACAAGAACCTGAAACAACAAAACTAAACATACTCGGCGCCTTCGCCCCAAGCGTATATACTTCCTCCCGAAACCCTCTCTCATTTCTCTCTCTCTCTCTCTCTCTCTTTCTCTTTCTTTCTCTTTCAAAGTCTTTTTGCCTTATGCCAGTTAGCCTTCCTATTTGCCTTCTTCATTCCTTTCTATCTTGAACCATTTTCGTAGAGCTTTGTGTCTTTTTGTACGCGTTTATTGTATTTATTTAACAGGATAGTAGATAGTTAAATAATGAGCGGTTATCAGCTTGGTTTGTGTTAAGACGTCTAGAAATAATCTGCTTATGTATATACATGATACAAGAGATGTAAATATTCATAAGGGCTATATGTATATACTGTATATATATATATATATATATATATATATATATATATATATATATATATATATATACATATTATTTTAGTTTAATCGACAATTTTGTTGAAATGTTAAAGCATATTTGAAACGATACTTGTGCGTTTCTTGTGTACTTTTCCTATAAAGTGACACTGATACATTCAATAGATCAGTTTATTGTATATTAATCAATATATATTATTACATATACTATATATATATATATTCCCATTTTCGTTCTTTTTCTTCCAAGCAATAATCTACTAAGAGTTTAGGCCTAAGAATTTCTTTTTGCTTGCAGCTCACGCTATTTTCACGCTTGCCTGCACAACATAGCTCATTAGTGGCTTATGCACTTGCGAAACCGGCTATTTTCCTTGTTTGTCACGCAGTTAGCAAATTCTATATGATTTCCTTAATAAAAATACAATTATCATATAGAATCAACGTTCTTATTTATCATAGTTTCCAATTTTAAAAAGAAAAAAACTTTGTTATCAGTAAAAGAACGAGGTGGACGGAAACGTTTAAAAAAAAAACTTTCAACTGTCACGAACTGCTGTAATAGTCAAGTGATAAAGTAGTCATGTGATCGATGAAAGTTGGCTCCCGAGAGCGTTTTCACACATTCTATCCGTTTATATGTCTTAATAAAATTAAATGCAGTATAAACAATACGTCAATATCAACGAAATAGCACATTTGTCTTGGCGTAACACGCAATACGGATTTTTTTCCTTATGAAAAACTAACCGATAGTGCTTATCTTTAAGTGCTAGAAATGGACGCATTTTAAAAGAGTAAAAGAGGAGAGGATGGAGAAGGAGGGGGGGAGGGGGGGGGGGGCGGTGAGAGGGTGGCTGCGATGTGACGGTTTATAGGAAATTGAGTGAGAAGAAATTAAAACGGGAACGTGTTTGCCACGTTCGAGTTAGATTGATTTTTCTTGATCAATATTCAAGATTCGTTTGCGTTGCATAACGAATGCATCGATTTTTTTTAAATGTTAATTAACCTCTTTTATCAGTTGGACTTTTCAGACATATTTCCAATGATGAAGGTAGAACTAAATATATAATCTAAGCAACAAAATGGTAAGAACTAAAGTAAAATGTAAAAAGAAAAAGAAATGTTAAGATAACAATCAAAATTAGTTTTATCCACAGTTACAACGAACAGATTATCTCCTCGGGTTATATTTATCTCTCAGAATGTGAATGTTTTTTTTGTGAGAGGTGTCGCTTAGATGTCTTATCAGACAAGAAAAAAAAACGATTCCTTTAACTAAAACCCATCAAAGTTAATTTTCTTCATCATAGGATAATTATGATATTTTTTTCCTATTTGTGAGGAGAAATTATAAGGAAAATCATGCTGGTTGATTATTTCGGTGAAGGCGCCCCTTCTCTCTTTTGGGAATTATTAGGAAAAGGCATCGCGTGTTTCGCTATTCATTCACCGCTTTCTTCCATTAGTTTTCAATGTATATAAGTGAGGGAGAGTAGGGGAAAAAAAGTAATCAGACGACTTTTGAAAAGTAATTAGTAATCGGATTATGTTCTTTCCCTATGATACAGATAAAGGTTTTGTTCGAATATCTCATATCCTGTTAAAAAAGATTAAAAAAAGGGAAAGAAGAAAGAGAGAGAGAGAGAGAGAGAGCGAGCTACCTTACACAATATTATTGTTTATAAACAAAGAAAAAATAGCAGCGTAAACTAAACGCTTACATTGTAAAAACTACAATGGTAGAAATAGTTATTGTAAATGACAATTCAAGTTGATATTTTCGAAATTAATAATTCTATTGGATTCTACGTGCATCAGAAGTCGATAAAGTGCAAACTCTAAATAGAGAGACATATTCCAAACGGAAGTGGGCGGTAGAAGGGAAGGTGTAGCTTCTGGCTTCTGAAAAAAATTCGCTTCTTGTCAAGTTTGTCACGCTCAACTATTCGGCTATTTCTATCTTCTATTTCTATCTGATTTTACTCGTTACTAGCGCAGAGAAAACCACTCTAAAATGATTGACTTTTTAAGCAATTAAATTTTTCATTTTCCTTCTCTATTTTAAACTTATCATTGAGTTTCTCTTTCATAGAATTTAACCTTTTTTAAATCACAGTGCGACATGGCCGTGGGCACAAAACTCTTCTTCGATATGATGAATCAACCTCCAGAGAAGCTGATATTATTCGGGGCAGCCTGCAGTCATGTGACGGGACCTATTGCAGAAACTGCTTACTATTGGAGAATTCCACAGCTGAGCTACGCTGACACTCATCCAGAATTATCCGATAGGACTAGATATTCCATGTTCTTTCGAACTATACCGTCTGACTTGGATTATAATCCTGCAAGAGTCAAACTAGTTAAAAATTTCGGGTGGAAGAGGGTGGGAACTATTTTTCAGGATGCATCAAAAGGTTCTTCCCGGTTCGCCTATGTCAGTGTTCACTTTCTAAACTCTTTCTTTATTCCATTCAAAATAAATAAATAAAACACAAGTGTAAATCCATTAAAGACAAATCAAATGATGCAATTGATTTTATTTATAGGCTCACAACCTGTTCGTTGATCTATTAGAACAAGCGGGCGTTGAGCGGCAAATCGAGAGTTTTTCTACTGATCCAGCCCCGGCAATAGAAAATTTAAAAAAGAAAGATCAGAGAATAATTATTGGCAATTTCGATTCGGAAATGGCTAGAAAAGTGGTTTGCCAGGTTTGTCGAAGGTAATTCTATCACACAATTTAATTAGTCACATTCCGTATTACAGGCCTATAAAACTAATTTATATGGTGTCAAGTACGTATGGATCTTATTGGGTGATTACCCGAAAAACTGGTGGAAGAAAGGTACAGACGGATGTTTAGTTGAAGAGCTTGAGAAGGTTTTACAAGGATATTTCTCTACGGATATTCTTCCGTTAAGTTCCGAAGAAAGGAAGACGATTAGCAATATAGTAAGTTCGACTTTTTTATTTGACGTGTATATATTGGTAGTCGTCGTGTAAAACTTTTCAAGTGGTTCATTGAGCTTAATTATCCGATCACATGGCAATTAGCATGAAGAGAAAAGCTGTTCGATTATAGTTAACACGACGTAGAAAAGATTTCGAAAGAGTAGTTAATTAATTGAAAAGATTTAGTCTTCTAATCTCCATTTGATATCATTACCCGCTTTGTTACGTAGTAATTCAATTAACTCCATTTCGTTGCTTAACTAGAGAAAGGAAATATTCAACAGACGTAACGCTTGTCTGTAATTTTTTCAAACGACACTTTGATCATAGATTATATTAGATATAGAGCTTGGCCAAGTTCTAGTAATAATATTTCAGTGGAGGGGGAAATCTTCTACACTTCCCTTCTTGTCTTAGAAAGAGCATTTTTTTTTATCTACTGTATATTATGCAAAGATTGAGATCTTCATTGTGTTTTTCCTTAAGAACACTTTGCAAAATGTTCGTTTCCTTTTCCCATAACGTAAGTTAAAAATAGACGCCTGGACGTTTACAGTATTGTGTTTACTTTTTTTTTTTATTCAACATTGACCGTCACTTCATACCGCATACATAAACAAATAGCCATTGGTGCCTTTCCCTAAACAAACGCTGATATCCGTAATCAATAGCCTATACAGTGACAGTACTCAGTCTTTTTTTGTATATAATTCATTGAAAGTAAAATAGACGCCCTTGTTATTCAAGACCTAGCCGATTAGTTATGTTTGCATAACTACAAGTCATGAAATGAGTGCCTTTTGCCCGGTAAAGTGCTTCAATTTGACCTAATTGCAATCCAAACACTCATACCTGACAATTTTTTTGTCATTACGGATGCGCATCGAATGTTCAGTTAGTTACTCATTCGTTGACAGTTGAAGAGCCTACAGAGTATTAAACTTTGTGAAACTCGATTCCTCTCATCTCCTATGTAATGAAAAAGCATAAAATTATACAGAAACCGTACTATTTACCATATTTTACTTAAACGAAAGAACAAAGATGTCCATCAGCTAATTCAATTTCAAAGCGACTCTTTTAAAGGAATCATACGATGAATGACGATCAATAGATATAATAATTTTAATGTAATAGGAATAATAGTTCATTAAGCATATTACATATAAGGTTAGTTATCGCTAAACTCCTTCTTATCATCATCTGCAAAAGGATATTGGAATCGTGGATAGTAGCATAAATTGCAAATTTTATATAGCTTACTAGACAACGAAGTGAGCTTTCACTTATCTTTGATATCCGAAGAGAAAATTATATACAAGGAAACGGAATCAAGAATATGATCTTTACAAAAAAACAGTGCGAAAGAGAGAATCTTTTGAAATCGACTAAGAAAACGATAGAACGGCGGGTCAAAAGCCTGTGACACCTGAGCCGTGTGTTGGAAAAATGCTAATTGAAACTTTTGTTTTACGTTAAAGAATACATGGCTCTCTCTATCTCTTGCCTCTTCTTTTAAACTGGTCGAAATAAGCAGTTTTCCTGCTCTCGTTTTCCAGAAAAAAAATACTATTCCCAGTATTTTAATGCAGCACGTATAAAATTGAAAGAGGGGAACATGCAATAGAGTGATCGAGGGAGGGAATAAAGAAAGAGAAAAAAGAGAGAAAATGGAGAGAAGGGAGGATTTCTTGCTCCAGCAACGATGGATTTAAGGGTAAAGAATTTAATGACACGGTACAACGAGCTAAATACTCTTTGTATGTTATAAAAGTAATTATGGGCGTCAGGGGAATATGAAAATACATAGAATTTACGAGAACAGCTCTTATGTAATCGGTAGTCTGGTTGCGTTCAATATTAAATGCCATCATAAATTATTCTCTTCGCTGTAGACGTCCCGTCTCTCTATTAACTGTCATATTTAACAAACCTCTCTCTCTCTCTTTCTCTCTCTCTCTCTCTCTCTCTCTCTCTCTAAGAATTCCTTGTTTTGTATGTCTGTCAATCTTTGTTCACGTCTGAAATGAGTCTCGCTCTCCGGTTTTCTCATCTCCATTAGGCCTCTTTACTACAATGAGCGACTTCGACTAATAATCTGAGCCATAAGAGACTGTAGGAATAATCGTAAGTCAAATGTACGTAAATTTCATCTTCTACAGCCATCATGTTCTCAACTCTCTCTCTCTCTCTCTGTTTTTTCCCCCAACTTATTTTCTCATCATTTAGCACAATCACTTTTTTATGGTTTTAACCTTAGCAATGAATAGATAATTCTTGGATTGGTGAAGAAAAATAAACCAGGATGAAACTCTAGGTGGAAAACTGGTTCCGGTGGCATTTACCCAATGCTAAAGTATACGTGTTTTCTGTATATATTGTAATACCCTAAGGATTAATGGGAATTTGCAAAATGTTTCAAAAAGAACGCTCCAACATCATTTAAATTATATTTCCTCTCTTTTCCAGACAGCTCAGGAATATTCAAGGTTATATAGCTCAAGTGTTTCATCCTCGGATTACAACGAATTCTCTGGTTACGCCTACGATGGCATTTGGGCTATAGCATTGGCGCTTCACAAAACTCTTAATGAATACGGCATTGTGCAATCCGAATTACGTAACAACTCTGATCTGCTGCTAGACGCTTTGAATAATACGGACTTTATTGGCGTCACGGTGCGTATGGACGTCATTTCCGATAAGCTTCGTATGCAGCCGGAAGTGGCACATTTTTGCATTCACTCCCTTTTCATTTTCCTTTCTTTTTTCTTTTTTTTTATAAAGACACAATAGGATATTATTCTTGTCCGTTTGCTCCTAGGTTCTTAACGAACAGTAAGAAGTGCTTTCAGTATGAATTATGCAAAGATAACTGTAAATAAGATATATTACCGTAGTAAGGGTTACGATATAGAGTTCTTAAAGTTATCAAAATCATTTGTAAGTTTTAATGTCCAATTAAGCTAAGACGTTTTCTAGATTATTGAGGTTATATAGTGGTTGTTACAGCGATTGCCTTCAGCTTCAAATGCAAACGAAAAGCGTGAGAGTTTTGAAAGGCGAGAAACTAATAAATTCTGTACCGTCAATTGATAAAAGATATAATCTCATTCATGAATATCGGCGACACAAGGATGATTGAAAGAGGAGAAGCATTAAGGTAAAGAGAGAAGAAGGAAAGAAGGAAAGAAAGCATAGGAAAGAGAATTAATATTCTAGTTTATTGAAAGAAAAGTCTGAGCCGAAATCAATTTTTTTAATATAACGTTTTTGTAGTTTATTTAAAAAACGTTATATTAGTGTGATATTTTTCCAGTTGACTGCAAACAAAAGAAAAAAAAGAGTAAACCGCAAAGTTTTTATAAAAACTCACAAGTATAGGTTAACGTAGCGTATAGTATAAACAGTAAACGACTATTCACGGCTTTCACCTGTAATGTTACCGCACTACCCAATCTAAGCCTATATACACGTTGCACTATTTAATACAAACAATGGCAAACAAACGAGTGCAATTATCGGCATTATTTACTTCTCTCAGACATCAATAATTCATCAATATCCGACCAGTTAAAATAAAAAAAAGAGTTTTTCAGAATTTTGCAGCTGCCGCCAGAAATTCGCCCAACTGGAAAATTTTTTACCTCTACATAAACAACAGAAGCTATAGGCCTAATCCATAGGGAACCCTTTTCTTTATCTTTGTTTGTCAGACCGAGTTTGCCAATGCAAGTAAAGCTATGCAGCCAAAAAATTCCAATAATCCGTGAACAAACAATAGCAGTTTGCTAGGCAAATAACCAGATTTTTGGTATAGACCTAGCTGTCTTAAAGGGTGTCTGTCATAAAAAGTTTGTCAAGGGTTTTATCTCTTAAAAGGCCGATTGAGGTGCCTAGAATGGAATTACTCGTAATTTCCTTTATCACTTTTTCCACCAATATAGTTTATTGTGCATTTAACACAAAGCAAATCAAGATTTTCCCTCCTCGAAAAATATCATATAAAGTGGAGTGTTTGTCATGTAGTTTGTAAAACGTGATGCGGTATTGGAATATAAAGTAGTCTGTATGGGCTGATCTGGGTAAATATTTAGCTTGTGATTTAATACCTAACGGGACAAACCTTGTAATAAATCCCGCACCAATTTAACGATCCCATTAAATGTTACTTTTTCGTATTTACCTGAGAACTTTTTGAGAGAATCTCTCTGTTCGCTCTCTCTCTCTCTCTCTTGAAAAAGTGTCTCTCAACTTTTCTAAAATCTATGCAAATTTTATGGCCGACGTTTTCATTTGCATCTCAATTCTTATACATATACAGTATTTAAATATCTCTATATATATATATATAAAACTTTTCTCTCTTTTCAGGGTGACGTCCAATTTAGGAAAGGCGATCGTGTAGGCAGTATTCTACTACAGCAAATGCAGGGTAAGCGTCTAACGGATCGTGGGAATTGAAAAAAGTAATACAGAATAATCATTGCAGGCGGTCGTCTCGTTAAAATAGGCGAATATCATGCAAACAACGACACACTCAATTTAGAGGCACCCAATTCCAGTTCAATTATTTGGCCCAGTTTGTATATTTTTCTTTACCATTCCCTTGTTCTTAATTTTTCTTTCCTTATCGTACGCTTATCTCCGTTTATCCATATAGAAAATAAACAACCCCGTGATCGTACGAGACAGAGGCTCCATCTACAGAGAGTCAACCTAACTATCTACGCAATCTTATGTACAATTTCGTCCATAGGCATAATAATTGCTTTGGTGTTTTTGGGTATAAATATAAAATTTAGAAATCATAGGTATGAGATTATCATAAATGGATTGCACTTTTTGGGAAAAGAGTTGGGCATCTATCTATGGGAAGGAATAAGCCTTTTTTCCCATATTGACAATCAATTCATATTGCTAATATATACAGTCTATAACTTGTAACTTTTTGCCATTTTTCTAGATATATCAGAATGTCATCGCCCAATCTCAATAACGTGATAGTTATTGGTTGTATATTAGCTTATACAAGCGTTTTCCTATTAGGAGCTGACGGGGTGGAGCAGTCGTCTACAAATTTCCGCTATTTGTGCACAGTAAGTATTTAATCCTCACTAATCCGTCTCTAATCCAGTCCGCCAGTTTGTTTAGTTTATATTCGCCAACTTTCCCTTTTTTTTTTAATGAGAAAATTAAACATTAGCCTTGTTAAACATGGTACTCGTTACAATCAGATTTCTTTACTGAATAAAGACGGAAAAGGCTAGATAAAAGTAAAGAATGGGGAAGGGAAATAATAAGAAGAAAGGGAAGTAATACGTAAAACATAACGACAATACGGTAAAATGTTGAGGAGTATTTGAAATTTACCGCTCTTCCTTCCCCTCAAAATCTTATCAAAGAAAAAGAAGAGAAAAAAGGCAACCAGAAGAGTTTCTATCCAACTTCTCTCCTCTCGCTATTCTTTTCCAATTATAAAGTCTATCAGCCTTTTACCAACATATTTTTTGAGTAGATACTTAATTATAAACCTATTTGAAAAGAATAACTCCGTAGTTAGAAAGGAAGTATGATATTACCACGTGAGATTGTAGTACAATACTGTATAAAGTACTATATTGTATAATAGATTAAAAATAATATACACGAGTATACAGTATATTATATACTATTTATCCCACCTTCCATTGAATTCCTATAATCGATAACTAAATCCACTCCAACAAAACAATCAATAATACTGATTGTGCCATTATTGATAATGTATGAGGAATGGTGAACGTGTTTGAAAATATTATCTATTTTATGTTTTGACAGCTGTATATTTTTTCCCTAATATTCAAAGATTTCTTTTTTATTATGTCATTATGTTATTCATACTTCCTCTGGGTTTTTCTTTCGGTTTAGTCTGTTTATAAATACCGTTTCTTCCGCATTTTTGAGGGAAAAAAGAGGAAGAGGAGGAGGAGGAAACTTTAGATATTTTTTTTTCTTTTCAATCCTCTCCTCCCTCGTTTATATTGTTCAAGAACGACAAAAAACATAATACATTCGCAATCCTATTATTCTTATTCCAAAGGTTTGCGACCAATAGTTTTTATTACAGTTAAATAAATCATCGTTCAGATGCCAGTTAAATCCCTAGTACTAGCTTTCATTCTATTCATTTGAGTTCTCTCTCTTTGTATAGGCGTTAGGGCGTTTGCCCTTTTTCTGTGTTCTTCTGCTACTTTGGCCGCTGCCTGCTCTCTAAGTATAGTCCAATCAAACTTTTTGTCGTATTCGTAATTCAAAGTTCTTGTCAAAATTCTAAACAACTGTCTCAAATACATATAATCCGGACATTCTTCGAATCGAAGGCCTCTACAGTAGTTAATATACATACTAAATTCAGCCGGATATCCTTTGCAAAGAACTTCAACGGGAGTGGCGATTTTCTTTTCTGAAATCTTTTCGTATTTCTGCTTTTTCGTGTTCGCCTTCAAGCCTTGCCAGGGGAGAGATCCTCTTAGAAAGTACATTAATACATATCCGAGACTTTCCATATCGTCCCTTCTAGATTGTTCGGCACCTTGGTGAGCGTTAATAGAGGCGTAGCGGGCTGTACCAGTCAAGTTTTTATCGTCTCGAAAAGAAATATGCTGTTTACTCCTCGGGTCTCTATACTTTTTTGCGAGACCAAAGTCGACAATAAATAGTCTATTAAGAGAGTGTCCAGTGCCCATAAGGAAGTTGTCTGGTTTAATATCCCTATGTATAAAGTTCTTTTGGTGAATATACTCTATTCTACTTATGGCCTGGTCAGCAATCATAAGTGTGGTTTTAGTCGAGAATCTTCTCTGACAGAAATTGAATAAATCCTCTAGACTTGGTCCAAGAAGATCGATAACCAGGGCTAAAAATTCTTTTTCATACTGACCGAACCATCGTAGTCGTGCTATCCCGGTACCTTGGTTACCCTGTAGTATCCTATAAACTTTACTTTCGCCATACAATTGCGGATGTCTTGCTTTACAGCTTTCAATTTTGACGGCAACTTCTTCGCCAGTTTGTACGTTTACAGCTAAATAAATGTCGCCGAAACTACCACCGCCAATTTTCCTTATTAATCGATATTTTGTTGTATTTCCAACATAATATTCACCGCCGCTTATTCGGTCTCGTTCGCTCATTGTCGAATGACTTAGATTTTCTTGTACACAACTGACTAATCCTCCTCCGTAATCCGCTTTATTTCAGCCATTCGACCGCCTAGTTGCAAACGAGACAAACGCCGAATATGAATCAATAACTTTCAAAACGACGTGTAATCAATTATTCATTTTTTTTTCTCTTATGTATGTACGGCGTGTATAGGCCTGCGCATTGAAAATAGGAAGTGGGTTGGGCCTATGACAAACTATCGCCCCTCCCTGTTCTATTTATTTTATACTGTATAAAAAAAATATCGGTGTAAAATACAAGTGTATATAATAGATTAAGTAGTCTGAGTGTATGGATTAGACATAATAATTGTGAATAAAGGCAGGGTAAGGTTAAACAGCCAACAGACTTGTAAGACGTGGTCTACTTGGCCAATCAAATTGTCTTTCCCTTTAACAAGCAGACGTCATCGACTGGATAAATTATTTCAAAGGATTAGGGCAGTAGGGTGGTTAAGGTTGTAGAAAGAGACGCCAGTGCAACGTCTTGCTTGTACTTTTCTATCGAAATCCAATTACAGCACTAAAAATGCTTTGCCTAAGGAACAGTTTAAACCTTCCAATAGCTTAACAAAAGGGAAAGAGCGAAATAAAAAAAAAAGGGGAAAAGAGAAAAAAGAAGGTGGGATGGTTTTTTTGTTTTAAAAAAAAGAATCATTAAAGTATTAAATGACTCTTGACAAATTAATTAGTGTGAAAATACTTGGAAGAAAAAAACACAATTTCCATTCAATATATTGTATTTGTCTTTTCTTCCTATTACAGATTCGGTCTTGGGTGCTTGCGATAGCTTTTACTCTTTCATTTGGCGCTATGTTCTCGAAAACTTGGCGAGTTCATTCTATTTTTACGAATATTCAATTAAATAAGAAAGTAAATAGGTTTTTTTCGAGGTTTTATTCGCTTTTATTTACTTGAAAAAAAAAACACAGGCAATTAAAGATACAAAATTATTTCTTATCGTCGTCTTCCTTTTCATGGTCGACATCATTATTCTGGCAACTTGGCACATCATCGATCCCATTAAGAAGGAACGCAGAGAATTATCGCCTCAGGTTTGGCAAGGACCTATTTGGCTAGCACGTTCTTTACTCTTTTCTTTTGCATTAAATAGGTCGATGGCGAGGAAGACGATCTAGAAATAATTCCCATTCTAGAATATTGCAGTTGCTCCCATATGACCATTTGGATTGGAACTGTGTACGCCTTTAAAGGCTTGTTGTTAGTCGTCGGCTGCTTTCTAGCTTGGGAAACACGTCACGTAACGATGCCGGCCTTGAACGATAGCAAATACATTGGCATGTCCGTCTACAATATAGTGATAATGTGTATTAGTGGAGCTGCAATCTCAGTTCTCATTTCGCATAAAGTTGACGCTTCGTTCCTCATTTTATCTCTTTTCATAATATTCGCAACGTCAATAACTCTGTGCCTAGTTTTCGTGCCGAAGCTGATAGAGTTAAGGAAAGATCCGAAGGGTTAGTAAGCTAATAATTATTACGCTAATTGGAGACCATTGGTCGTTTCTCTTTTCTTTTACTTATAAAGGAGAGGAGAGGAGAGTAAGGGCTTGCACGGTCAGGAAACCTCTAACGAATTCCGAAGAACAGTCAAAATGGAATGCTAATTCCCTTAGGCAAAAGAATAGGCAGCTGGAGGAAGAGAATAGACAATTCAGGAGTAAAATAGAAAGGGTAACTAGCTTAAGCTGAGTTTATAAGTGTTGCCGTTTGGTGGCGTTTTAGTTGCAGCGTTTAGCCTCCTAAGCCACATATACTGTATATTAGTTTATATATATATATATACTAATATATACATATATTAGTATATATATATTGTATATACTGTATATAGTATGCACCGCAGACAGTCGCCATCTACCGTTTAAAAGTATATTTCTTGCTTAAATTTTTCAGCAAAACGAAGAAGTTCGACGTATACTTGACAAACTAAATGAATTAGGCGATAATTCAAAGATGATCTTCCAGGTGCCAAATTCAATAGAGTTAACAGATATCAGGTAGGTTGTCATTTTTTTTTTACTCTGACTAAATGTTTATGAAAACTTCACATTTAATAAATTAAACTAAGAAATTTACCTGTATTTTCTCTTAGCTCTAAGACTTTCAAGGGTGACAGGGAGCGCGACCTACGGTAAGCTACAAAAAAAAAGAATTATCTCGCCTGATTGATAATATAGATAATCTAACTGTCACGTTTCTTTTATTCAGATCAATAAAAACTCCCTCCTATCAAGGGTTGAAAGTTATTTCTGACATATGCAATCTGAAAGAAACTGAGATATTATCAGATGAATCGGATGATGATTCCAAGAATAGCATAGGTAATAAATCTCATGTAATATTCAGTCATTCTTATTAGTTTCTCTATTGACAACAAGCCTAATTTGAAAATATTAACAAGGCAAAGAAATATAACGATGATGTAAAGAGTGTAAGAGAGAAAAGTAGGACTGAATGATAACGATTATATTAGTTATATTTGTATCTGTATATAATATTGATTTTATCAATATAATGATGGTGAGGATGATACTTCGAGCACCCTTTCTTAACTCTGAGCACTTATTTTTGTCCTTAAAGATCTAATTTTTGCAAATGATCTAAATCTCTCCTTTACCTCTTTACATGAATTCGACTGAATAACAGTCAAATTTTATAGAATTAACGAATAACAAAGCATGCACTTTTTTCTTTGTTTTTTCTCTTGCATGATACAGATGTGAATGAGGAAACGGACCCTTCAGCATCCCTCTTATCATCCTAAAAGAATTTTTTATAACATGGGTATGTCACTTCTAATAACCTTATTAAAAAGAGTCATACTTATCAATACAATTTGATCGTATAAGCTAGAACCTCTCTACCTTCCTTCATCTTCCTCTTTCCAATTACTAACGAACATAGGATGAGTTAATTAAATGATTTGCTGCTTGAATCAAAAAGGATTTCGATCACTGTGAATAAGAGTTTACTTAAAAAAAAAATATATATATACTGTATATATATATATATATATATATATATATATATATATATATATATATATATATACTGTATATTATCTTACAAAACAACCAACAACTTTTGATTTAAATTATTCCAGTGTTTTTCGTTAAAATATAATAATCAATTACGAATTGCTGTTCTCAAAGAGAGGAAGGAGGAAACAGGAGCGAATTATTGTGAAACCGCTAGAGAAGTAAGCAGAAAGAATGAAGAAACTGTTGAAAGCAGGTTGGAAGATGGTACGATGAATTTTCGATGTGATTTAATAGATTACATTTGACTCTGTAAATGCTAAAATCCATTTTACTGTTGCTGACTTGAGAAAACTGCTGATGAACTTATTTTACAGTTGTAAATAAGCAATCTTTTGTTTTTTTTCTTGGAAAAAGAAACTTTCGGATCAACTAAAATTTGACTTTTCTCTCCGAATTTCTACTAAAAACTTAATAAAATAAGAAAATTGGCACGAACATGAGTAACTTGCCCTAAATATACGAGCTAATGATGCAAATTTACAGGGACCTCACGCAATATTTCAACATTTTCAACGTTTTATATTTCAAAGAGAATAAGAAGGAGGAAGAGGACAAAGTTGAAAAAAGAAGGAGAATATTAAATCAACATTTATTCTCTACATTCTGCAAGGAACATTTGAAGGCAATTGTTTGTTGATCTTGAATTCAATAGTGAATTAATGTGAAAAAGAGTAAAATGATAAATTAATACATTTCATAAAAGGAAACACTTCGTTAATTGACTAACACCGGTTATTTTTTTCGCTACCAAGTTAGATCGTCTTTCCTAAAGGTTATTTTCGGGCTATTTTTTGAATAAAATTGCATATACCATCTTCTATGCTTACTGAGCATCTGATCTTCAAACGATTTTACGTAGCAGGGTTTAGCTAGAAATTTTTTATTGTTCCAAATCATTATGTCTCTTTCAACTTGTAAAGCTTCGGCGAACAAATAGATTTTTCCTAAAATTCTCGGTGAAAACCAAGGAGTATATATGTGATGGACGAGTTTTTGTTTTAAGGGTTCCATTGGAGTAAGATGCTGTAATAGATAGCAGTCCCCAAGGAATGTATGTAGAACTAAATAGACAATACCGGGACCAATTTGATTAACGGTAACTTTTAAATCCATAAATGAGAGTTTAAAACCAAAAATCTTGAGAGAATGAGTTAATTTCATTTCTCCAATATGGGCTTCATCGCCACTCAAAGCTTTCCATTCCCCATTCCAACAGTGCTCTAAGAACTGCCAAAATTTGTTATAAGTAAATCTCAGATCAGTCCCGGCGGCAATGACTGGGCCATGAACTTGAGAAAGATGACTAAAATCGGCTCCATTTTCTGGAATTTCCTGAATATGGCAGCTAATATAGTGCTCCGACCTTCCGTCATAGTCGAGCGAGTCATTCTGCAGTCCGTCTACTTCAGGAGGCATCCAACTGGGTTCATTATCTTCGGCATGATACCATATATAGATAAAATTATTCCGTTCCAAAATAGTATAAGATTTAACTTTAGCAACGTCAGGAACTGGTGAAAAGACATGGACACTTTAATAATATAGTTTTATGCGTTTCTTACGCTTGTCTATGTAAATGAGAATATCTGATTATCTTCTCTGTTTTTTCGACATGCAGCTATTATTTATTATTTCCTTCTTAGCCTCCACGAACTAATGCTAACTAATGTTAGTCTATTATTCGCAGAGGCTCAATATAAAATTTACATGTCCAGCTTTTCTAATTCATTGAATTATTAGGTCGATTCATTCTTTTAACCAATAAATTGATTGGCAATTATCAGTTTTAAAGAGACTCATTGAATCTTTTACGAGATAAGATTCAATTCATTAGAAATTATGTGAATACACGTTTAGCCCTTTGGTCGGATTTGTCACGTGTCTGATAAGAATTTCTATGACACCGTCTGAAAAGTAAGAGTACTTACTGTTATCTGCGTATGGAATATGCTTGCATTTTCCGCTATCACCATCGAATTTCCAACCATGGAAAGGACATTCGATACAGTTTCCTAATACTCTCCCACCTGCTGATAAATTTGCTCCCAAATGAGGACAGTAAGCATCAATAGCTCTAACCCGACCGTCTTCACCTCTATATAGCGCCAAGTTCAAACCTAATAATAATAATAAGAAGATATAAATTTATATATATATATATATATATATACAGTATATGTATATAAAACCAAAAAAAGTATAATCAATTACACCTATTAGGGAGACATTGACTACTTGACCAACAACGAGGTTCCTACTCTCCTCAATAGCAAACCATCCGTTCGGATAGGCTGGCGGAATGTTACCGGTGTCTCTTCTTTTCGAAACAACATTCACCATTTCCTTCATTGAATAATTATTTTCCGGTATATATCCCAAATCTCCAGGTTTTTTAATCCTATTTAATGGCACTAAAAATAGATTCCAACAACCTCTAACTATACTTAAAAGAGCAAAGATAGCAAATAGAATTAGGCCAGTGTGAACAAGGTCCAAATCTTTAGTAAATAAACTAATATTCCTGGATAGCACGTTTAAAGGATTAACGAAAGGAAAAGCATCCCATTCGGCAGTCGTTAAAATGGTTATATTAGTGTTGATGAAGAAAAGGGCAAGCCAGATTAGAAAAATGAAAAAAAAAACAACCTTCCACATAATATCTTGAGCTCTTTAGTTTACCTCATTCAGCCAAGAAATGACTCTACATCTACGTTGATCGATAAGATATGCCTTATCAACTATTCTCATATGCTCTTAAATAATTTATTCTCATTTAATAAATATGAAAATGAATAAAAACCGCTTTAGACATACAATACTATTAGATTATGATAAAAGCAAACTTTTAAAGAAAAACATCCTCTCCCTATTATTCCTTTGGCATTACTTTATCAATCGTTATACGTCGCTTAATTCTTTATCTAATTATTATCATTTTTTATGCCATTCGATTACAAGGATGTAAAGAGTTCCGTTTTTTTAATGTTCATTTTGCTGTTGTTTTATAAACAAGAGAATGCTTAAGAAGAAATTGAAAAAAATCAACAGCAATTAGTTCGATTTCGATTTTACTGTAGAAAAATATTTAAGACTTTTCTTCTTAGAGGATTATCAATCCTCTGTTGAGAGATTTTGATCAAAGGAAAAACGAAAGACCTAGCTCGTATTAAAATAATTTTTCTTTTCCTTCTTCCTAGCATGTTCGCTTGATAAAAGAGTTAATGAGTAACCGTGTGAATTTCACTCCGTTGAAAAGGTCGGTCATTACCCCTCAAGAAATGTTAGAGTAAAACTCAATTTCCTTTATATTGTTATCAGTCTAGTAGAAGTTTTACTGCAGCGTTTCAATAATAACAATATCAAAATGAGAAAGCAGGGATTAAGATTAAATCAAAAATATAGAAATGCAGTAGATTATTAAATAATAGAAATTTATTGTTTCTGTAAGGAAATAAGATAAAAAATACAAAAAATTTACTTAATAATGCTATCTATTCTTCCTTGGTCTTATCGAAAAAGAAACTCAACTTACGAATGACAACAAGTGCTGCTTATAAAATGAAACAATTATATATAAGTATCTGGTTGGTTTTGATGATTAAACGATTCAAATGATACTTTTTCATGATTATACTGGTTAGACCCGACAACATGACTTGATGGATGATATGAAACAGTTGGAATATTAGCTTTTGGCGACATTTGACTATTAAAACCTTCTGCATTGCCGTCTGGTAAATGCCTATTTGGAGGAATGTACGGTCTAAATCCCGACTCTCCTTCTTCGTAGCGAAATGCTGGCGTTCTCGGTATATCAGCTGGAGATCTTGGATCAGCTGCTCCTGGTGTTCTAATAAATCCAGGTGATCTTGGATCAATATTGTCGGTATGTTGCAAGTGTCGGTCGTTCGGCATCCGATACCTCTCATAATGTCGTACACCTGGACTTCTGAGTGGTTCATACTCATTTCTAGCTGTTGTCAAGTTTGACATATTTGCATAATTATATTGTGAAGTATTGGAACTATGAGAATTGTGTGTATCCGGAAAAATATTATGTCTTGGTGGTTGTCCCACACCTAGATCTGATAGTTCTAGGTTACGGCTGCTATCTGATTCAGGCGATTGGCCATAAGTCTTTTTATGTACTCCACCCTGATGAGGCCTATAATCATTTCTTGTGGAAGTAGCAGGTTGCCGTGGTTTATTGTTTTGTGCACCTCTTGTCGGTAATTGAGAATTTGATTGTCGTTGACCTTCAGGTATCCTTCTACCTGCAGGGGCAATTAGATCTGCGTTTTTCACAGGTGCATCATTAGCTGGACGAGAGGCCGTAGATGAACTTAAAACCTCATTGTACGACGGCGGAGCATCCTCCTCAGATTTAGTTTGTGGTTTACTTCTTCTGAAGCTTCTCCTAATAGTGTTGACGTGTTGTACACCCTCTCTTGCAGTTCTTCTAACCGAAGACCTAAAAGCTCTCTTGAAAGATCTCTCGCCGGGAGGAGCCTTTTGCATTTCCTCAAGTACTAAACGAGCACAACGAAAACAAGCAACAATCAGTGCAATAGCCAGAACAGCAACAACTATTACAATCCCTATAATTTCACTTCCGCCAAGACCAGCCATTCCGTCGATTCTTTCTAAAGTAAGTAAAGGGAAATATTAGAAAAAGCCGGATAAAAATACAGTATTTCAAGTCAAGAAACTTTTCCAACTCCGCAGAGAGGAGCTTGATTTGGAGAGTGAAATAAAAGCTAGTACGCATTAAATCATTCCCTGAAATTAGGCCTATATTTACCTGTTTAATTGAATTCTTTCTATAAGGTGAACTATGGCAGATTGTTAAATGATGGAAAATGTTAGAAAATTTTTTGCTTTCAATCTTAGCTATTAATCATCTTCAATTTTCCTCCAATTAAACAGGATACAAACGAGAAATCGAGAATTTTCCTAGGGATATTATATTTTTCTTAGGTGCACAAAGCGTTCAGCCTTGACATTGACAGTAGTCAATATGTACTGAAATTTGCCCCACCTGCCGGTTGTATAGTTTAGAAAGGGATGAATAAGAGCAAATATATGCTTTTTATGCGTTTATCAATTAATTTGTCTGCTTAGTAGAGAGCAGGGGAAAACATCAGACCTTTCACTCTTAAGACATTTTTACTTTAACACTCGCATATTAATAGGGTTTTATGCTATTTTTCTATTTGACGTTTCGCGTTCATCGTCTATATTAGTTTGTCGTCACTCATCCCATTCTCTCCCCTCCCCCTACTTCTTTCAATCGAGAGAACTAAAACAAGCCCACTAGCGCAATACATTCTCTTATTCTCTCTTACTATGTACATGTACATATACATGTATTTACATAGATAAACCATTAGAATTATTAAACAAACGAATAGAAGTATTACTTGCGATTTGCTGGGCAAAGGTGACATCTATCGATTAAAAATATAAATATTCAGTCTTCAGTGATGAGACGGTGACAAAACAACAAACTGCAAATCTATACACTTGTAAATATGTCAGTGCTTACTACAAGTGATTTGTTAAATGTTACCAATGAAGAATTGGACTATTGGAAAGTTCCTAAGCCGTTTTCTGTTAAAGGTTCAACATTCGAATTAAATGCCGTTTTCGCATTGTTTATAACTCTAATTACCTTATTGGCTACATTTGGAAATATTTTGGTAATATGGCTATTTATTAGGTATAACAAGTTCGCATTTCCTTTATCTTTCTTTCATATAGATAGATTAAAGACCAAAATTATGATCGTAATTTTTTTCTACTTTCTTATATATATTAGTATATAGTGCATATGATAAAATAGAGAGGCTCTATATTTACGTATATATCTATACTTTATAGATATATATATATATAGAAAAAGCTTTTCCCATCATTTAATAGTGTTGTCCAAAAGAAAAATATATTTTAAAACTCTTAACTGAAAAGCTATTTTTGTAGATGAAATTTTTTAGAAAAACAACATCTTTACTGCTAACGGCACAGAGTAAGCAAAGCTTTATGTGTATCTCTATTTTGTGTTGAAATATCCAGTATATTTTCAACTGTAAAGCCTTCTTTCGCTCCTGACTTATTACATCTTCTCTTTGTGAGAGTATAGGTAAAAAACCGCTGCGAGTTTTAAATAAGGATTCCTGATATAAAAAAGAAATTGGGGCTTAATGAAAGATATATATACTAATATATATATATATATGTTTGATTGTGAAAATGGCTTAATCTCCTCAATTTAAGTAGAACGAAAGTTCTATTTTATCAAACAGGATTGTAAAAAAGTAGGAAAAGATTAAGAAAAGATTTAGACTGGGAGATGCGTTTGTTTCCTACTTTTCATTCTTAAAAATAAATGTGATTGAGTTGGCGTGTGAACAAAACAATTTAAAGTAATCAAAATTATATTTATGCCTATTGACAAATCTAGATTTAAAAGTCTGAGGACGTACACAAATATTTATGTTTTCAACATGGCAATAAGCGATTTATTAATGGCGACAACAGGATTTCCCTTATTTATTTACTCATCTTTAAAGGGAACATGGGGTTTGGGTAAATTAGGTATGTAGCAGAAGAAGCGTAAATAGTTTATTATATTGACAAAATAAAATTGTATTGGGAAATTCGAGAAAATGAGTTTTGCATTTTTCTTTTAGCATGCGAACTATACGGAGCGTCTGGTGCCGCATTTAGCTATGTTAGCATAAATAGCATGAGCTTAATCAGTTTGGAAAAATGTCGTTTTATTGCGTCTACGGTGGACGAAAAGCATGCGTCCGTCAGGGGAGCAATAGTAACTAGCCTATTTTGTTGGTTATATTCCCTAACTTGGGCAGTCCTACCACTAATGGGATGGAGCAGGTACAATCTAGAAGGTTTTGGGACCACCTGCTCTTTTGATTATGCCTCTCGATATACTTCAGATAAATATTTCATCATCACAGTCTATATTATGGAATTTGGTTTACCTCTATTAATAATAATTGTATCCTACTCTATCATCTTTCGAATAATTAACAAAAGAAGACCTGCCAGCGTACAAAGATCAAGAATACTATATACTAAGGGATTGTCTTCAACTTCTTGTTCGGAGTCTGAGTCTTCTGGACAGAGAATGAACATGGAATATAAAGTTCTCAAAGTGATTTTCATAGTCATATTACTTTTCTGCATAGCTTGGTTACCGTACGCAGTTGTAGGTCTCATCTCGGTATTCAGTCACACAATACATCCAATTGGAGCAATGCTGGCTTGTCTGCTGGCAAAGTCTTCTACAGCTTATAATCCAATTGTGTACGCCATTAAACATCCTAGATTTAAGGGAAAAATAGCTGCTGTTTTGAGAAATGCTGTTGAGAGGGCCAGAGAAACGACTAGAGATTTCTGATCTGATTTTATGATATATACACGTACTCAATATACAGCGAATCATTATAATTAAGAGGATTGTATATAAATTAGTTGTGGATAATTAAGGAAATCACGTTATAAAGCATTGGTGTATGATGATTAAGAGGAATTGTCCTAATTTACAAAAACAATAAAAAAAATAAAGTTATGTTATATAATCTCCTCCGAAAGGATAGTTACTGTCTCACAAAAGAAGGATATATTCAATCTCTCAGGATTTGAAATTAGAACAACTTTGTATTCTTTATAAACCTCAAGAAATTTCTCTTGACTCCTGGTTCACTAAAAAGATGTAAATAAACAAGTATTCACGAGATATATACAGAATAGTATTATTTTGTATACTATATTTATCAACATTAAATACACCTTACGTATTTTTTTATTACATTTTCATTGATTCTTTTCAAACGAAACACCAATTTTTTTCAAAGAAAATGAAATATTATTTATTTTAAATAGGTTAAATGTTTAGAGTAGATAGAAAACATTTGAAGAGAAGAGAAAAAGAAGGAAAAAGAAGATAATATAATTTAAAAATGCATTTTTTTTATTTCTTCAAGCGATACATTCTTCTTACATTAGGACAGTTGACATACTGTATATACAGGATATATATATATATATATATTAGTATTTATATATACTATGTATTGTATATAAGACGGAAAATAATGGCTCCCGCTGATTGTTTTAAGTAGTACGCGAGAAACTCGAACTTAATTAGATTAACAATCAGGGGTAAACTCTTCGTTTCTTATGATTGCCAGAATCGCGCAAATTCATTAAATTCTAAAATTCCATTTTGATCCATATCGAATGCCGACATAATACGAGAAACATCATCTTCGGATAGTGCCATATGTCTTAGACCAACTTGGATTTCCTCCTTTGTCACGAAACCATCATGGTTCGTGTCGATTTGGGCGAATATTTCCTGGGTATATATCCTCCTGAAAAAAGAAAAGAAAACTTTCAAATGATTTAATTAGCGAGGATAAGAGAAAGCCAACTCTTCTTTTATTTTCGCATAGAAGCGTGTAAATTCACTGTAATTTAGTGAGCCATCTCTATCTTTGTCGCAAGACCTCAATAATTTTCGAATTTTCGCTTTTGAAAATCCAAACAACGTTGAGAGAACGGAAAATGCTTCTTCAATACTCACTACGCCGTCATTATTCTTGTCAAAGTCACTCCACGCATCCATTACCTCGGTTTTACTGAATTTATGTACAAACGTTTAGTATAGAGTAGACGCTTGTCACGTAAAAGATTAAATTCGTAATTGAATTAAACAAATCGAAAAGTCAAGTCAGAGAGATAGAGGGAATTGCCTATCTATAATAATATCTGCGCATTGAGACTATATACAAATTCTTTACTAAATTTCACTCTCTTTCCCCTTTTGTCCAATTCCCTATCCCTGAATTGCCCTTTGTTAATTGTTCATTTAGTTTCTCATCTACGAATGCTACTACTCACTCGAGGATAATTTTTTTCTTTTCTTTTTCCATGCTGTCGATTCTACCGACCCATTCTGTAAAAGAATTAAAACGCATATCGTTGAAAATTGCAACATAATCAAATTTTAAAAATACAAAATTGTTTATAGTTCTTGTTGTTGAAATAAGTTAATTTATTTTGAATATTTACTCACTAAAAGCAGTTTGATCCGTTGACTTTCTTCTCGGCGAAGGGGTTCTTGCTTCATTATCACTTCCTGTCATTGAACCTGACCTTTTTCTGTAAATATCTGGAACGGTTAAACTCATTTTCAAGGTTTCTCTCTTTTGTTACTTTTCAAGTTTTAATTTGGAATAAAAAGTGAAAAGAATATAATCGAAGAAAACCAAATTCTGAGCATTCAACGATTTTATATAGAATGAGTGATGCTTTTATTTAAAACTTGTTTAATCGATTGTTTTTTATTCAACCAATGGCTGCAGCCGTTTGTTTGTCAAACATCTGTTTCAGTTATTTATTTCATACAAAATCAGCTTATCTAAAACAGTGAGAGTAACAAAAGTATATAAATAGATAAAAGCCATCTTTTAACGAAAAAAAAAGATGCAAGTTGTTTTGGAAAAGAGAGAAAGAGAGAGAGAATTCAGAGTTGGTTTTATCCTCGAAATATATAAACGATAAATTTATCTTGATCAGTATAATTAGCTATACTAGTCTATGCGTGTGTTGTTGTATTTATTTACCCATGCTATGTGAGAACTGCGTAGACTATAAGAAGCGCTATATGCACTTGTATAACAGCATGTATAGAAGTTTTCTGAATATTTGTTTATAGAAAGTTAGGTGCGCCATAAATTTTTTCCCTATTTAAATAGTTTAAATATCAATGAATACTATATTAAATTTTTAGGTAATTTCTTAAAAGGTTGTATACACTTTTATATACAAATGGACAAGGAAAGGCAAGGCTAGTAAGTAGGTGAATAAATCTTTATTTGCAACTGGTGCCTAGTCAGTAAAATTTTATATTTTTATTTATAAACCAGGATAACTAGATAATAGTCAACAAACATGTTCATTCCAATGTTTTATCTGAAGCATTATCATATTTAGTAATAATACTTTCACCGTGTAAGCATTATTAGTAATAATATGAACGGGGTTATTTTTTGTAAAATCAGATTCCTTCCTGTTTAATATTTTAATAGTAATTAGAGAGAGAGCAATACTGTAACGATGAGTTGTCAGATACTGAATAAGACTTGTAGGGTTTTATAGGTGTTTATATTTAATTATATTTTACATTAACGAGTAACCTACTGTTAATTTTAATACACTTGTATATAATAGAACATTAGATAAACGTTACCTGTGCTTTGTTGTTTAATTACATCTTAAATATACAATATATTCAGTATAGAATATTATATATTTCTCAATAAAATGAAAAGAATGAGTCTTTGGATTAGGGAAGAATATTATATTTTCGAACAGAATGGAAGATTAAGATTATTGCACGTTTTGTTGTATTTAAATACTAATCATAATAACTATATCAGATAATTATAAATGAAAGTCTAAAAATAGATATCCTATCCTTTCCATACTGTGTAAAATAAAAATAAAGCTGCACATCTGTTGACGCAGGTCTTTGCAAATTAAGATTATTATATTAATAACTAATATTCATTTAACAGCTTTTGTACTAATACCTTACGAATGCATGGTCAAAAAGCATTTCAACATTATATTATCAGGTGTAATATAGCGTATTAGTTGTAATGGATCCAAAGTAAGATTATATCTGATTCCATTACAATTTCCTCGCGATTTAAGTAATTAATTTGAAATTTGAATTTTCAGCGAGCATCGTTTTATTTAATAAAGCATGTACTTTCGTTAATATTTGGTTAATGACAATGATTACTAGTTTATGGAAATCTTTTTCTAAGCTGTCTAGTTTTCACAAAGATAATGTGAATTAGTTTGAATTTCCCTGTAAGCTGTTTTAGTTACATTTAATTAGCCGCCCTTGTCATATCAAAATGATTGTCTACTTCGTCAGATGGAGTAAAACTTTCACCTATCGTTAAAAGCGCCATCTCCCGATTGTTTGATACTGTTTTGGAGTGGAGAGATCTTCAAATTAAAGGTAATTTATTGTGTGTTACTGCATCTATTATCGAAATCAATACTTTTTATGGACGGTATTATTAAATATTTCAATATCTCTATTGATTAAAGAGTTTAATTTATGAATAGAAAACTGCAAAAACTGCAAATTAAAAAAAAAAGAAAGACAACAAAGGAAAACGAATGTTTTTCCTTTGAATTGAAAATTTTAAAAAGAATAAATAAATAGACAAATGTAAAATATAAATTAACTTTTATAAATTTGACAGAAGAATTCGATCAAAAAGTCTTCAACGATACTCTTATCTGGAATTGTACCGACCATACCGTAGACTCCTGCCGTGCCTTTCTTAGCCAAATCTTTCTTTCCCTAATTAAAAGAGATAATTAATGAATTAATGTATGAAATAATGTATTTTTATTAAACTTATTAAAGTTACTTTAGTTGTTTTGATGCAATATTCTATATCTTCAACCAGTTTTTCCTTTACTTGAGCATGATTAGGCATAATTGTACAATGCAAAGACGGTGGATTTTGTTGTCTTTCTGTTTTCCAGCCTTTCTCTTCTAAAGCATCAGCCAAGCTATAAATGCAAACGCTTGGATCTGTCGAAGTGAAAGCGAAGGCTGTCATGTGAGGTTTACTCATGATGGTTAATCCTTCAATAGAGTTTATTTTCTCTATTAAATAGCTGGTAGTTTCCATTAATCCCTTTGCCATAGACAAATAACCATCTTGACCCATAGCCTTAAGAGCGGCCCACGCAGCAGCTATATTTCCACCTGGTCTCGTTCCCGCCATACTTGGTGAACCAAAAAGACCGCCAGGCCATTCGGCATAGGCAAACATCTGATATTTCCTTAACTCCGCCGTATTATATAACACAACGCTAGCACCCTTGAAACGTAGAAAAAGAGATACATTACTATATATACTATCTAACGCCTGTAAATATACAACTACCTTTGCACCGAATCCGTATTTGTGTACATCGGCAGACATGCTGGTTACTCCTTTAACTCTAAAGTCGAATGGCGGTATGTTATATCCTAATTTTTCGACCCTATGAATGTGTTACATATAAATTGTCGTATTTATAGTAAAATATCTTATCTCTTACAGTTACAAATAGCTAAGAAATAGATAAAAATAAGTATGGCTTAAGACTTATAAGAAATTAAGAAGATCGTAAATACGAACCATGGAAGCATAAAACCTCCGAAACACGCGTCAACGTGTAGAGGTAGATCGTACTTGTTGGCAAGCTTTGCAATATCTTCTATTGGATCTATAACTCCATGGCAGTATTGGGGTGCCGAACTTAATAAGGCGATTGTGTTGGCGTTAATAGCCTATGAGGAACGTATAGTAAATTCATAAAAGAAAATATTTGACAACAATACAGTTTTTGTATGTTTTGAAGGAGGCTTACCTCTTCGTATTTCTCCATGTTCGGTAGGCAATTTTCATCTATGGGAATGTGAACAATTTTAAAGCCAAAGTAGCTGGCGGCCTTTTCGTGGGCTGGATGAATAGTTATGGGAGCTACCATTTCGGGATTGGTAATGTGTGGAAAGAGTTTTAATGCTCTGTGTCTGTAGGCCTTCATTGCCATTAGAATACTTTCAGTTCCTCCAGAAGTTAGAGATCCGCAAACTTGATCATCTCCATTCAACATTGACGCAGTCATGGACACAATTTCGTTTTCGAATCGTCTAAAAGAAGAGAATTATCAATTGTTACCATTTTTCTCACATATTTTTTTTTGTCTTATTTGCATAATCTCTTATCTAAGCTTGTTTTACTCGAAATAAAACAGTCCGAGGACTGATTTTTATCATTTGCAATGAAATGAATATATATATATATATGCACTTGTGACATGATCTTATAAAATTTAAGATTACCTGAGACTAGGAAAGACCATTGGGTTTAAGGCATTTTCGTGCATGAAAGCGTAATAAAATTCTTTAACTAATTTATCATGGTCTCCATCGTAACCAGTTTTCTCTGTTGTTTTTTTCAACACTTATTATTAGTATTAATACAAAAGAGTTTAGTTTGAGATATACCTGAGAAGAGTTCGTATGCTTCCTTTTGTATGTCGAAATGACCGTTTTCGTTCGTATAGACGTAGGCGAACAATTTACCACTTGAAGGATCTTGGTCGTCTGCCTTGATTTTGGTCATTTCCTTAAGTAATTCTTCATGGCTAATACCTGTAATAAGCGAAAGAAAAAGAAGGAAATTAGCAAAAATTAGACTAGCTGCAGTTGCGTAATATACAACATGGATTTACCTTTTTTCGGAAGAGAAACCTTCGGCTGTGCTGCACTCTTATCACTTTCCGTATTCTTAATAGTTCCAACAAAATTTTTAACTTCTTTTTTCAGGATGCTTGATAACAAGTTGTTGAACGCAGGAATTTTTCTAACGGCCTATACAAAATCAGAAATGTGAAATATTATAAAATTTCTATATATATATATATATATATATATATATATATATATACTCTATATATTTTATATATTCTCTTATAGATAACTAACCTGCACAAATATCTTGGCGACTCCTCGAAATCCTTCCTTTCCCCATATTGACAAAACAATGACGAGAAAAAGGGTAAAAATTAAGTGTTCAAACCAATATAGCCAGAGAATAAGCATTTTGAATAGTAAAAAAACAACTGGATCGAATAGTAGAAATCCAAGTTCCTCAACAAACAGGCGTAGATGTAGAGAGATAGAGAGAAGAAGAAGAGAAAGAGAGAAGAAGAAGAGAAAGAGAGAAGGAGTGAGAATAGAGAGAGAGAAAAAGAAACAGAGAGAGAGAGAGAGAGAAATGAAGAATATACGGGAACGAAGTTGTTAGACAGCGAACAAGTAAAGCGGCTTGAGAGAAAAAGCCAGAGTGTGTTGACTGGTTAAAAATAATATTTTCAAACTATAACAACGACTTCTTCGAACAGCTTTACATATGATTTGTTATCGTAGCTCGTCCAAATTTAAATAGCCGATATCGTCCAATGATTCGTTCTTCTTATCAAAAAAAAAAAAATTAAAACGATTAAATATTAAATATAGGAATTTCCCAACATTAAAGAATAGCAGAAATATTTGTCCTTGCCTTATTTTTCTCCCCTCTAATTTATTATGTTATAGTAAGAGAGTCTCCTTTTGAATAATATACTGATTGAATTTTAAACGATTCTGGTGAAAAATAACAGTTACACATAAATTATTACAGATAAGGACTAATATATAGAATGAACAGTGTTATGACTAAAGAAATAAATAGGACAATTTACCACTTGGAACTAGTACAGTTATTGATTAGAAAGTCTATGCTTTATTAATAATTTTGTATAATAAATCCTCCCTCTTACCTCTCTATCTGTTACAATTGATAAGCCGTTATCATTGTAGAACAGAACGCTAGTTAATCGTTGGATGTATACGCGGAAATTATTGGTTCAAGTAGAACAGTACAGCAGGTCCCGCGGGGAACGTTACAGTTACACTACCTCTATAACAAAATAGGCCTAAACGACACATTTCAAGCTAAAATAGTCAATTCTATTGTATACTGAAGTAAATATCATTTTTACAAGCAGCTTAAATATATGCATAGTATATTGTATTACATGTTTTTCTGGTAATTTTTGGTTCAATAGCCAGCATTGAATAAAGAGAAAAAGACGCCTATCACCAATAATTAAATGTTATTTATAGTAAAATAGAAAGAGCGAGAGAGAGAGAAGAAACCAACTAATACGCTAATTTTCATTGAAGTGTTTTGAATCACGTGGGGAGAAAAAAAAAAGAAAAACTACAATTTACTTTGAATATTATAATTTAAGTGTTTACTTGTAGATAGCGATCGGTATTTTAGTGTTCGTGTCGTGAAAGTGTAACACTATTTAACTGCGATAACGATGATTGGGAAACACTACGCATTAAAAAGAAATTTTTCAAGAAAAACTGCCTTTATCTAAATTGTAGTTTCTCTAGTTGGAATCGAAGAGGATTGTAAATAGGAAGAAGAAAAGACTGTGATAAATATTACTTTCTCATTATATTTTTGTTAATATTATTATTGACCTGTCGATATTCTCCGTTGTTTAAGTTTATTTCCATTTCACCTTAACTAAAACAGCATTATAGAGGAGGATGAGGAAAATTAGTTAAGAATTACACAAGAAACCTATCTACCTGAATTGACCTTTGCCCTATTTTGTTTGAAATATCTAATAGTGTTACTATTACGGCCATTATTTTTCTAGACAACTTTTAGTCTGTTTTTTTTTATTGATAGATAAAATAGAAAAGTTGATCGTTCTATATATACAGTATATATATATATATATATAAAATTCACTTATATATATATATAATTTCAATAACAAGATTATGGCCTATTATTACGAATTCCTTCTCCCTCTCTGTTCGCCCTTTTACTCTTATTCAACACTAATTATTCAACTCCCGATGATAAGATACTCTTTATAAGCTAAGTGAAAGTAATACTACAAATACACCATTACAAATCAAAAGTTATCTTGTTTAAGGGAGTATGTTCTGCATTTAAGTTTATTTTTAATACCAAAATTTTCAGTTATAATCTCAATTACGTAATGATTTCTCTATATATACATTTCTTCGGTTGTATAGAAGACAAACTGTTCCCGTATTTGTGTATACGAAAGATAATAATCAAGACCAGAAAACCAAAAGAAACATGTAAAAAAAGAAACATAAAAAGACTAGATAAACACATTGTTCATAAATTTATTTACCTCTCTTCTCTCTGCCTCTGTGTCTGTCTGACTGTCTGTTTATCTGTCTGTCTGTCTGTCTCTCTCTCTCCCTTGTCAATATATTTATAGTACGACGTTTGTAATAAACTAGTCTAATATTTGTAATTTTTTTACTCTTTTGAATGAATAATTAATAAGAAAATAATAAAAATAGAGTGTAATGTTGTTGAAGGTTTTCAATATATTAATATAGTATATAATGCATTTATTTCATATTTAGTGTATTGTATATAGTTTTAACGAATCCTGTTGGATTGTATTTAAACCAGACTTTCAACCACTTATCAAAACAATCTTATCTTAAGAGAAAATAGTCTGTAATCTTGAAATATATACTATTTCATCATTAATCAGACTAGTAATTAATTAACGTGCAAAGACTGTCATTAAATAGGGTTTTTTATTAAATTAACATTGTTAATTTTATATGATTTATATATTCGTTCTCTTTATTATTTAAATTTATGAAATATAATACAATTATTAAGATTAAGGCCTAATTTTTAGTAATATTATTTATATATACCATTATTGATTTCGACCAATTATTTTGCTTGTGAAAGGAATATCCAAAGAGAACAAGAGGCACAGACTGATCGGCCATAAATGAGGGAGAAATAGGGAGAATACGAGTGTTTTCTTACGATACAGATAGATTCAAGCAAATTAATAGATAACTTACACGCTGAAGAGAGAGACTAGAAAGAGACTACTGAAGTCTAGGAATTTCATTGGTGTATTGAAGAGAAAGCGCCTATAGGACGAGTACGTTTGTACATTAATAGAGATATATCGTTCTTTGAATTCAAAATATCTTATTGATAGAAGAAGAAATGGTTATGTCCGTTCAAATTAATCTAGTTAACGGTATCTTTGGTTTGTTGGTTTGTACTAGTTTGGTGTTAGTTGTAGCCATCTCTTGTGGAGCTTGCTGGAAGAATAAGGGAAGCTATAAACTCAATGAATCTGCTGGAGGAGGTAAAACCCACTCACGCGATAGAGTCTAAGAAAAGAAAGAAAAGAGTATGGTGAATATCTAGATAACAGATAAAAAATAATTATTTGGCCTATGTGACACATTTTTTTCTATTGCAATAAACATCTCTTTTCGGTGTTGTAAACAAGAGACAAAAAAAATCAAAGAGAAACTTAGACAGAAAGGGAATGACAGATCAATAAATAGATAGAGGGTGAGAAGAAAGATGAAAACTAAACAGAACGGGAAAGGGGGATGGTAGGATGCGGGAGGGGTTATACTGTACATAATTGATAAATTGATAAAATATGAAAGGGATAAAGAAGATAGGAAGAACGGTATAGCGTTTAGAAAAGAGGAGAGTGAATTTAGGATAACGATACATCAGTCTTTAATTTCTTGTAGTATTTCAATCACCTTATAGAGAGAGAGAGGCCAAGAAAAATCATTATTTGTGCAAGATATATAAGAGATAAAAGGGCTGTTAAAATAGTGTTGATAAATTCGTAATATACAGTCTAACAAGCGTAAATTGAGCTGATAAGTAATGCGAGTTTGAAGATTGGCTTCATGTTGAAAATATGGGAAGAAAAACTGTACAAAGCTTCTGCTGACGGTCTCAATATAACAAGAGGACAAATAAAGAATACAACAATAGCTATAAGAGTACATGGTATATGGATAAAAACCTATACAGTAAAATACTATTCTTGTTAGTGTTCTCTTGGCTCTACGTTGAATACGTCATATTGAAAATTTTACGTGAATACGTTGAAATTTAGAGAATTGAAATATATCGTTTTTTCCTTCAGCTCATTGCATTTTCGTTGAAAAATACCCTTAGTTTTTTCGTCAAAACTTTCTACTATCTTCCTCTTTTCTCTTACTTTCACTTATCATGAGTTTTAACTCTGCCTAATCAAATATTAAAGAAAAATAGCACACGAACCCTTCTTTTACGATGATAACAGATCTAGACGATAAACTTATAATTATATTATAGTAAGAAATATTGCCCTAGCTGCATGACTCTCTTCCACTCATCTTCATTCACGCTTCGTTAAGTAAGCTGGATTAGTATGAATAAAGTATTGAAAAAAATTCTTTTTTTGTTAATTGTACAGAATAGATTTCCTTAAGGGAAAAGAGAAGGACTGTATTCTCATCTCTCTCTCTGTGTGTGTGTGTGTGTCTTTCGTATACCTATACTGTTGTGTGTATCGAATGCGCACGAAATTTTTGATAAGGTAATGAACCCCACAAAGTGTTATCATTTCAAACAAAGTATATTTTTTATCTATAAACTTATCAATTATTAATCAAAAGTTAATTGCAAAATATCTTTTTTATTTTATTATAATTAATCAATTTCTCGTAGTTGGTCTTTGAATTTTGTATTGTATTTCCTCGTATCTCCTCCGCTTTTGTAATTTTCTCTATTACTGCTATTAGTTAATTTTGATTCTCTTCAAAGATGGCGCTTATGCCGTAATGGTCAGACATTGGAATTGATAAAATAATCGGATTTCTAACATCCCTAACATATTCTCTCTATTTATAAATATGAATAAATGACTATTAAACCTATTTAAATAACATAGTAATTCGAAAAGCTGTATAATTAGTTTACCTCTACTTTAACAATTCTATTGCGAATGTTAATAGGAATTATTCCATCAAGAATACAATTCTTGGAATATCCTGGATCCATAATTTGAACAATTGTATTATCTTTGCAATAAGTACATAATGCCAAATGATCAACGGCTACATTCCTTAGTCCATTCTCTTTCATTTTCTAAATTTTTGAATGAAATAAATGGATTAAAAATGGCAAAAGGGAGCTAAAGGGATAAACTTATAGACAGATAGATAGATAGATATATAGATAGACAGATAGATAAATAGATAGATAGAGACATCCTAAACAAGAAAGTTATTCGTGCTCACTTGATATAGATTATCGAAATAGCCGTCAATTTGTTTCTCTTTAATTTCCGGTCCGATGTTGAAATCTCCTAATAAGAATGTATTCGAATCGCTAGAATATCTATTTATTAGAAAATCCACTTCCGCTTTTTCTTTCAATTCTCGCCAGCTTTTATATCCAGTAGCGACTGATTATGGGAGGATGAAGATAAATATTAAGCATAACAATACAAAATAAGCAAAGAGATAATAGTACATACTCTCTACAAAGAGAAATCCTCCGGCTGAAAGGTGCGTGCAAGAGATTTTCTCACCGCTAACCTGATTTAAGGAGAAAAATTACAGAGAGCAAAGAAATGTATTTATAACCAACTAATTGAACTTCTAGGAAGCCCCTCTGCACTATCATTCTCCTATCGAAAGGGAGAGCTTTGAGGGAGTTCTTCAAGAATTTTCTCTTGCTCAGTAAAAGTAAGCCGTGATTCTCCCTACCAGGCTCAGTGGCTTGCCTTAGTATTTGTTTTTTATAGGTAAAAATAGATATGTAAGTTAATCTCTAGATTATCAGAAATTTGAGTTATTTTCTAATATTAGAACTAACGAGCATACTCCTTGACCGGCAGCCTCCATAACGCATTGACCAAAGCCGAAAGGATCTTTATCAGGTCGATTCGTATCGACACAAGTTAGAGCTTTGAATATGAAACACTCTAAGCATTTCTTCTCTATTTTGTTTAAAACTTGGCATTTCTATTTATGAAAATGTAGCAAATTTTTTAATAGAGGGATTAATAACTCGATTATTTCACCTGTAATGTGCAGCTAAATAGAGAATTTCTATTCATGGCTTTGGCACAAGATAGCGACATACATTTCAAAATGTCGGCAAGTACTCTTGCATCGCACTTGCTCTTTCCTTTAAGTATATGTTGCGGAATAGATCCGTTACTCTCGTGGATGAAACTAAATGAATAAGGATATTTCTCTTCGAGATATCCTGCTAACTAATAGTAAAGAATATATAGTGACAAAATGATGGTTATTTCATTATTAAACGTAAATACCTCAAATATTTCCTCATCATTCCATATTTCTTGTAGGCAAATAACGTCGCTATCACTTTCTATTAGCTTTTCTTTTAAAGCCTCAAAGCGTACATTTTGTTTAATTAGACCCATACGAAATGTGTTGTAAGACTGCAACTTTAAAGTTCTTCTAGTTGACCCAATACCTATTTTGTATTATAAAATCTCAACAGTAGTAAAGAGACTACTTTTCTTTTGAGAATAATACGAAAAAAAAGTTCTCCCTACCTTTTTCAACAGTTGAAATAAGGATATAGACATGTAATAATATTACTAGTTTAGCCATTTTCTTTAACGTTGAAGTGTATTAGCTTCAACTTCAAGTATAAAATGAAAATAAAAGTATAATTTCTATTAAATTCAGCTGAAAGCGAAAAGAAGTACAAATTACTGATCATGAAACATTAAATTACCATAAAATGTTGTTTTTCTTTCAATAGAAATAGGCAACCTGTTGAAAATTTTTATCCTTTCATATTTCAAACTTTTGTATTCAATAAATTTAATGAACTCCCATCTGTTGCTACATATTTATGTTTCGCGTCTACATTGTGCAAGTAAATGCAGATATACTGTATATGTTACAGTAGCACCGTATACAATATTACAATATACTTCATATGAAGATATATTCGCATTGTTAAATGAAGCTTTTCCAATGTGGACTTTTTAACTTTTTCTTTTGTTTTATATGCCAATTTTGTCTACTTTATTTTATCGGAAATAAATGCACAGTATTGGCTTAACTTACTCGAATATACCATCTAAAATGTAGTTCAGATACTATAAACACTGTTTTTATTGTAAATAAGATACTAAATCTACGATTTAGAAATCATTGATTAATCTTATAATCGATTTTTTTTTCTTTAAAATGCTACAATATTTATTTTGATGGTGGTTCCTATTAATATTTTAGTAACGCCATTAACTGATAGATGGCGTTAATGGTATTGTTTATCCATGTTTATCATTTCATGGGGGTAGACAAGCGTATAATACTTTGTAAAAGAAACGAGAAGAGGGAAGAAGGGAGAGAGAGAGAGGGGGGGGAAGGCGAAGTGAGAGGAGAGGAAGATTTAAAAGACTTTAAGAGGTTTATATTTAATATTCAAAATGGAAATGTATTTTATACAGAGGAATGAAAAGTCCATTGGAAATAATTCAATAATTCTATCACTATCTAATATTCTGGCAATTTTCATATTACTGAAAATGTCCTATTTTCCTGTTTGTAATTCTTTAGAACAGATTTACTAAAGTCATTGGTTGTATAATTGATATTTGTAGTTACTCTAATAGATACGATGTTTTCAGATAGTGTGCACCATTCAGCTAATTATCTCGTTAGATTAAATGGTTTTTCATATTTCTAGATGGATATAAATAAATGAGTACTTTGTATTAAGTGTAAATATATATATATACTAATATATCTACAATATATATGTTCTACCAACCACCACAGCGTCTGCATCGTAGAGTACATGTGACAGCATTAAGCTATATACTGTATTTATCGTTAAAATGTTACCACACCATGCCAAGTATTTCATATCAAGATAAACTAAATATTGAATTTATAGTATGGGTAAAGTTTGTCTTAAGCCTTTTGGCGACTGGGCCAACAGAAACCCAACAGAGATTAGTTTCACGCGATTTACTCATTGGCATTCAACGATTGTGATCCAATGATGCGTATGACTTTGGGGGAAAATTGGGACACTTTGGCATCCTTGTGCAGAAACCAGATTTGTACAGATTGAATAAACTTCCCTTTCATCATTTTAAACTTCAAACTGTAATAGCGAAAGGGCAAAGTGTTTAATTCTAAAAAAATTTATCTGGAAGGGCATCATCAATAAAGGTAATAATATTGGTAGTCGACAAACCACATGTATCGTATGATGTAGAAGTCGAAATGAATGAGAAGCAATAGCGGATACTTCCGGAAGTGAGAACTGTTGATGTATTGCTAGACTTATTCAACTGTAAAGGAGTGACGCGAACGCTTTGTTGATTATAAATAGGAGAAAATTGCTGAGTTATTATTCTTATGTGCTATGTTATAGCTAGTTTTCTATTAATTAATATTCGTAATATCAGCGCCTGTACAATATTTTCTTGGTCAATAGTTTTCTAAAGGATTAGATGACTTGATTGTTTCTGTAAGATCTTTCTCTGCTGTCTTTTTAACCTGTTAATGAGAACAGTATGTCATCCTAGCATTTATCTAAACGCTCCCCTCCCTTATAGCCTTTCTCTTGTTACTCCTATAATTTCCCTTATTCACCTCTTTTGTCGTTTAATTGACAAATGTTTTCACTCAAGTACCTGAACTCGTAGCTTAAGAAAAAAGAGGCTGAGAGAGAGAGAGAGAGAGAGAGAGAGAGAGAGAGAGAGAGACAGAAAGAGAGAGAAAGAGAGCGAGAGAGAGAGACAGAGAGATGGAAAGAATAAGGAATTTTATTAGGGCGAAAGCCAAAATTTTGTGGGTGTGGTTTACTTTCCAACCATACGTGATAGTTTTTTCCCTTTAAATTCTAACAGTTAAAATATGATATATTCGACAGTCGACACTTCCAATTATGACTTTGAAAAGCCAATTTTTCTGCAATTAAGCTGACAAACTGTAGACTCATACCGTTTCCTCGGCTTGAAAGAATCTTTTTCTCCCTTTATTTAAGATCTAATCAAAAGAAAGTAAATGAAGAAAAGAGGATGAGGGAGATGGGGGGTAAAGAAAGAAATGAAGAAAAGTTCACCGTAATGTTTTATTAACACTTTCAATTGAAATATAATTAGACGTCGAAAACAAGACGGTCAAGATTCAGTTCTTGTGATTTTCATTAATGAGGTCATGTTCTTAAGGATGAATAAATAAAGAGAAATGACAAAAATAGAGTATGTACAGGAATTTCCATATGATAATGTTCTATAAAAAGTTTTAAACCATTGTAATTGAAATAAGTAATATCTAAGGAAGAAGGTGGAAAAATACATTAACGTATTACTCAATAAGTCGAAAGCGAGGATTTCAGGATTTCTTTATGTATGCATCTTCTGTATTGCGAATAATGCAACGGCTTGTATTTACATATTCATCCAAGAGCCTATCGACATTCTCTCACATTGGAAGCTTATGTACATACAATACTGTATAAATGATACATGGCTAACACTAGAGAAAACAATTTTACCTGAAAAATGATGTTATTAATATTTATTTAACGTTTATAAGAGATTTATATTATTACATAATCAATTGAAAAATTGATTTTTCAATGAATACGGCTGCATTAACGATTAATACCAATTAACACCAATTAATAACAATTAATAAACAATACGGCAGAGAGGGGGAAAGTGCACACAAGTTAAATTGAGTAATCGTCTTAAACCGTTAGAGTTGTTACTTAAGAATATTTTAAATTGTTAACCAGTTGATTCCACTTGGGATTTAAGGTCGATAAACCTTCAATCAAAAACAATAACAATTCATGGTCACGAGTGCAATACTTGAAAACATAGCGTAATGAGTTCATGTACACTAGTGCTTATGTCAATGCTTAATTTATACATTTCAAAGAGCAATCGAGGCTAAAAAATGTCTTTATTCAACGCTAATGGCTGTCTATATTTAAATTATGAGCATATTCTCTCCTCTCCTATGAAAATTCTACGTTTAATCTACTGTATGTACTCGTGCCAATTTTAGTTTTCCTTTCTTTCTCTCTCTCTCTCTCTCTCTCTCTCTTTCTCTCTTCTTTCAGAATTTAAAAAGTACATATCAATTTCCTTCTTACAGTACATGAACAGATATTTTATGTACCTTACTAGTAAAAAAAAAAAGAGAGAAAAAAAAAGCAGTACAGCTGTACCAATCTTTTTGCACTGAAGGCAGAGTTTTTGTAAGGAAGAGGTAAACTCATATATTACTTAATTGTTTTTTATGTAATAGTAGAAATGGAGGCGTTTCTATGATTCCCCTTTCCGCTCCAATTTATATTGTTTCCCTTCGCCTTTTCTTCAGTGGAAATACCCCATCGATGTCATGTTTAACCTGTTAACCAGATGTCACCACTAGTGTGACAATCATTAATTATCAACTCATTGAAAAGCCAATAATCTAGTTCAAGCAAACATTTACCAAATCGACGTCCTATTGATAGTTTGTTAAACATACCATATGTAGCGCATTATTCGATTATTGCTTACATTTACTCATTGTCATGACAACGGCATAAATTGATTTTCGCTTGAATTACAGTCTTCTAATTGACTGCGGCATATGTTTGCACGACAATTCGCAATTATGCATCACACTTGGAAAATTTCTTTATTAGAGCCGTAGGTTAAACGTTTGATTATTAGTCGATTTATTTCTACTCGGATCTTATCATTCGTCACTTTCATTCTCCAATTTTCTACTTTCTATCTCCTTAATACGCCCTTACTGAGGATATTACAAGTTTCGTCATATATTAAGCACATGGGAGCGCCAAACGAGAACCTAAGCCGAGAACATCGATTATTAAAACACTTGTTATTTACGATTAAATAAATCTAATCCTCTAGCTGAATTACTTTCTCTGTTCAGTGACCTGGCAATAACCCTTTTTTCTCTTTCCCTCTCTATCGTTCGCTCTCCCTCTTCCTCCACTTCTCTTTCTCTCTCCCTCTCTCTCTCTAATTGTCTATCTACAAGAGTATTTGTTTCAATCTTACCTCCTCCCTATATGTCACAAGTAGAGTTTACACTAATGAGGAGTCGTTATAAGTGTAACTTTATACTTGGAATATCTTATAAAATACTTTCTTTTTAATAAATGTTTGCTATTTGTAGTGCCTTCTGTTAAAAAGTTTTCTCTTTCTTACTTCTAAGAAAGTAAAAAATGATATTTTTCCGCTTAAACTCTTTCTCTTGTAGCTTGTACAATTATAATATAGCTTAATAATAAGGAGACGGAAAGAAAGAGTAAATGTCAAAGTATCCATCACGAAATTTCCATTTTAGCCGATAAAGTTCGTTTTATTGAACTGTTTTTCTATTTCTTTCTATTTTTTTTTTACTAATGACTCTCGCCGGTCAAAATTCAGATTATTTTCCTTTTTTCCTTCTCCAAACCGGAAGCATAAAAATAAACTTAAAAAGAAAAATAGTAGAAAAAAATGAAAAAGGAGGAATATTTTTTAAAAATAAGTGTAAATCGATAAGTAATTTTCAGTAGTGAAAGTATAGTGGTTATGCTTTCATTTCATTTCATTCTACTTAAAATCCCTGTGTAAAATAACTATTACATCTAACCCGTCTTTATTCTTTATATCGGTGCCTGGCCTATCCTCCCCCCCCCCTCTTTCTCTCTCTATCTCTATCTCTATTTGTCTTCAGATCTTGCTATGGAATCCCCGTCGTCTCTGTTTCTCTCTCTCCGTCTACCGTCTCTAGAGTTATTTTCCTCTATTTCTTCCGTCTCTCCAAATATCATTGGGAAACGAATTTACGGAAGGCGACGATATAGGTCGATTAAATAAAATAGTTTTGTAACATGTAAAATGTATGTACATGCTTCGATGATAAAGTTATATAGACTAAAGAGATAATTGGTTGAGTGAAGACTATTTTTAGAGAGATCAAAAGAAAGCCTTTTGTTTTCCAACTAACTGAATAGTTATTTATAAAACTATAATTTTGTATATAAAATAAATATAAATATATAAATAAATATACATATACTATGTATACTATATATATATATATATATATATATATATATAGTATATAGATATATACAGTATATATAAATTGTATCATATATATATTATATAGTATATTTAGACTACAAATTGTTCATACAGCTGGAAAATAAATAAATATAAATACATCAAGTAAGACATTTTTCTTGTACAATCAACTCTTTAAAGCAGTAATGAAAATAAGTAATTTTGTTATATTTATGTCATTTTCATCATTAGGTAGCAAAATAAGTTGAAAAAATAGCTTTCTAGTTTATATATATACAGTATATATATAAATTTATTCTCTATCTTTTAATAAGAAATGATACACGATGCCAATAGTAGGAGAGGGCAGAGTTGTAGTATATTATTAAATGTATAATGAACTAGACATCATATTTATACTTTGTACTGTATAATATACTAATTATACCTTATGTACAATCTATAAGGGCGTGTAAAGTATAATGAAAATAATGTAAACCTATTTTAATGGCTTTTAACCTAACAAAAGGAATAGGAATGAATATCCATGTATTTCTTTTTTTTTATTAAAAAAAATAATTATTTTTTCTATTGTTCCTATGCGTCTCTGTCTCTCTACCTATCTATCTATCTCTTTATATATACTATATATACAGTATTTATAGTATATATATATATATATATATATATATATCTTTCTCTCTCTCTCTGTCTCTCTCTCTCTCTCTCTTCATTTAAGGTATTCATTAAAAATTTAAAATCTACATTTCCTATCAAACACTACACGCTACAGTATAATACGATATCTACATATGTTATAATAGAAAGGGAGAAAGTAGACTGTTCACCTCAAACTTTTCATTTATTAAAGAAAACTTGAGAAAGGAGAAAATCAACAAAGATCAAATTAAAAAAGAAACATATTGAAAAGGAACTTAAGGCCTACGTAATTATAATTTTAAAATTGTACTAAACATCTATTACTTTTGGGATAAGTATTGCAATGCAAACGAGAAAGTAATTTTGTAGAAATTGCTCTATATATAAATATTTAGTTGTAATAAAAAAGAATAAAGAGAAAAAGAGAGAAATTGAAGTAAGATGAAGAGAAAGGAAAGATAAAAATAAGTGAAAATTGAAATAGTAAAAAATGACTTAATAAATAGAAAACAGTAATTTTATTTATTCTTGTTTCTCATAAATATGAGTATAAATTTATTTCTTTTTTCGTTTTATATCATTTTGTAGAAATTAGTTTTCGCATAATCACAACATACGAATAATACAATGAAAAAGTTATATATATATATATATATATATATATATATATTATTTACATGTCAATAAACAAATATATGTATATACTGTATATATTTATTTATATAAACGTTTATATGCATGTAACATCCTTTTTTCTTATCTTGTTCAGACACTTATTACACATCGTGCATAATCTGCATATATGTTTGTCAGCAATGAAATGTATTTGAAGTCAATAGGCCTATGGGCTGAGTCAAGTTTTAAATGAGAGAGTACGCAGTGGAAAAAGGGAGTTGCTGTTTTTTGGTGTTTTTTTGTTTTGTTTCGAAAACCAAGAAAAGGAATAAAAATGACAAGAAAAAAGAATTAAACGCAAAAAATGTCATAATTTTCCTTTTTTTGTAAATTCAATTAATTGTTAGCCAGCCGAATTCAAACAATAATTCAATTGGTATAACAATAATGACTTTCGAGAAGCCAAGTAGGGGACACGACGAGCTGCAGGAACCGGTTTATGTTTTTTTTTTTTGAGAGTTTATAATTATCTCAATCACAAAATGCACTTAAGTGATAAGTGAGTAGTCACGTGTTGACTGTCACTAAGGTGCTGTTTGCACCACTATTTGAACCAGCTGTGCCTCGGTCACCCGCTCCGCCGGTCGGTGAATTCGCTTGCGATCTTCTCTGAACTTGACTTTCACTTTCGACTCCATTAACCACTCCTGTAATTTTATAAGATTTTGTTATTTACTAGAAAATACATAGAAAAAGAATATAAATAAGTGGAGAAGACGCTTAAAAACTAGCTTTCGTAAATGTCTAATAATAGAACTATATAACCTGTTAGAGACAAGAAAGCACTAAGCAAAAGAATAATATATTGATTAGTTTTTAGCGCAAAGTCAGATTGCAAACAATAGTGAGCTTGTTTTGCTTTTTCTTTAAAAAACAAGATTTTCCTTTCATAACCGGAAACTTTCCTTAAGTTTTAACTATGTCTTTTCTTGTTTTTATCTTTTGTCCTGCCTCCCACTTTCAATATATATATATATATATATATATATATGTAGTCTATACTATATATCTGTCTTTCTCATTTTCTTTATCTGTCTTTGTGAATCTATCTCCTACAAGAATTCTCTAAACCTCGCCTATCACCTCCTCTATCCCAACCTAAAAGTTATATCTCTCTCTCCTAGAAAAGCTTCTAAAATAACTTTTTTCTTTAAAAAAAAAATAGCTCTTAAAATAGAATATGCAAATATAGATGTAATTTTCTTTTGTAAAAAAAAGTACTTAATTTTACTTGTAAGTATATTTTTAGTTTGGTTTGTTAAGATATTTTTGATTTTGAGTTTTAGTTTCACTCTGCACAAGACAGACAACACTGAATTAAGTGCAAACGCAAGTTTTAATTTATCAGTTGATTTAAACAAAGATAAATTTCACATCATCCCTTCAGTTTATGCGACGCCTGGTCATGTTGGCTGTCTGGTGCCGAAGCGCAAATCAAGACCATCTTTATGATGGTTAAAAGAACCAACCAAGGCTTTTTTTTTAAGTTTGTTCGTTTACTCAGAAAATTGAAATTATTGTTCTCTACTGAGTATAGAGAACGATAGAATGATGGGAGATGGGGGACTAGGGGTTTTTATATAGTTTTGTTTTTTTGGAGAGGGGAGGGGTTTCTCAGCCTCGGTTGGTCCTGAATGAACTAGCACAACATACCGGCACAAGTCGAGCCTCGTTTAAGATCAGTAACTCTAACTGGAGAGCCGGGTGACGCGCAAATCTCGACTAATCTGGGCTGCGAGGACGATGTCTGGCTAGACGCTCGTCTGGAAGACCTTTGTGCAGTGCCTGTGTCGTCCGTCGACACTGTTGTATTCCTCTCATTGTGATGATTAATCATTAACATCGGAACCGATTCGTCGGCGTTTCCTGGAGCGGACATATTAAGATACTAGTCCCGAACTACAACGGCCTATGAAAAAAAGAGGGATAGAGATTGTTAAGGAGGATGTTCTTCCTGCTTCCTTTTTTTTGCTAAAAAAGGCGTCGTAAATTATATAATTATTAGCACAATTATATGCTGTTCTTTTTACGAAAAGTATTGTTTGTCAGGAGAGAGTCATATCCTCTAACTAGTCTCAAATTGAATAGGCCGATGTAGGAATATTTACAGCTAACTCAAAATTGAATAGAAATTTGTTTCTTCTATAGTAAAGAAAGCATGCGCAGACAGGTTACGTGACCAGAACCCGGAATGATTGCATATGATTAAAAAAGAAACTGAAGCATAAACTGAAGAAATTAAATCTATGCGGTTTATCATTAGCATTGGTGGGGTGCTCAAAAAGGTCATGCAGCGCGTCCTAGTAAAGCGCGTTACTTAGCGTTACCTGATTGTCGGGCTGCTGGAGAAAAACCTGCACAACAATTGACATTTAAGACAACATTTAAAAAGCAATACATGATAAATGTCATGTATTGTTGAACTGAAAGAATGGTGATGAAGGCGATTAGCGCGATGATTTATGAAAATGAATATATCATTTGATGATGATGAATGAATGGTCATGGGAGAAATAAGGGCAAATAACGACTTACTCCTGAAGGGCATCATTTCTTGGATGGCCCCACCTTGTGCTTTGAAAAATTGGCAAACATTTTAATATTAAACATCTTCCTTAAAAAAAGTTTCATTTAAAAAATGCCTAAATCCTAAAGTGTATAATCCTATCAACAACAAAAAAAAGACCAATAATTACTGTGTTTTATACACTAAATATCTCATTAATATGCAAATTTATGCGTAATAATTAAACCAATGAATAAACAAGTGAATGTTACAGATATTTATGTACTTTCTTTCAAAAATGTTAAAAATTAGAGTATATTTAAATATATAAAGTATACAATATATACTTAATTCAACTGTTGAATATTTTTAATAAAAAGTTTCTCTAATTATTTTGCTCATGTGTCAATTTAAGTTCTAGAGAATAAATTTAATTTGTCAGTTGTCACAGTCGTTTTAATTCTAGTTTATCTATTTATTTTTTTTTAAAAAAAATCAAAGTAAGCAACTAAAGTTGTGGTAATGTTTTTAAAAAAATAAACAAAAAAGCATTGATAAGTTTATAGTAATATATGTCGTTTTTAAATAAAAAGTAACATATACATATACATATATATATATATATTAATCAATCTAATTAAAGTTCATAAATATATATATATATATATATATATATATATATATGTTTATATATGTTTGTGTAAGTATATAAATATAAATATAACGATATACGCATGCAAAAATAAAGAGATAGAGATAAGAGATCAAAAACCAATTTTTCAAAGGTTAGTGGAATCAAAATGGCCGACCGATCAGTGATCGCAATGCGCATGCTCGTGCCAGAAGAGAAAAAAATTATTATTTCTGTTTTTTTTTTAACCTAAAAAAGAATAAGCGCATGACGCCAAAAGCGACTGTTATACTTGTCACCTATGAAAAAAATTTGTTCCTTTAGTATAAATATTATATATATATATATATTAAAAGAGAATGTTATAGTTATTAAAAAGAAATTTCAATATACAGGTATATAAATGTATTTATACACCTGTATATTTATATATATATATATATATATATAAATATCTCTATTAATAAATTGAAACAAAAGAAACAAAAAGAGAGACGACAAGCAACGAGAAGGAAAGAGAAATGCTATGAAATAAAAAACGACGCTTTGCGACAGCTGCTTCGACAATTGGACTGTGAAATTTAATTTCTAGAGATTTTCTTCTAATTGTCTAGTCTGCTATTTATTCTGTTGATATTTTTTCTCATTTCTTCCTCTTCCCGTCTATCTTTCCTTTGGTCAGAGGAAATAATTGAATTTGTTGGACTTTTTCTTTCAAACTAGATTATTATATTTAGATATAGACCTTCTGGTTCATGATATAACTGTTGTGTAGCTGATTATTCGCTTATAGGACTTGTAACTTAATAAAAGTGGATTTTCAAAGTCCAATTGTCAATGTTTGAGATGTTATTCTAGCAAACACCAAACTCTATATCTATATATGGCTATATACTGTATATACAGTATATCATATAGTCATATATAAATGTAAGTATATATAAATAAATAAGTGAATGTACTTTTTTCTTTTACATTTGTGAAGTCGTTAATATACTTACCAATCCTATTTAATTTATTTTCCATACCAGGAGGATGGTTGTGTTTGACAGCATTCATTCTTCTGGCATGTGCTGGACCACCCTGTGACGGTGCCCCTGGTCCCCTTCCTTTCGGTCGTACCGCTTCAACCGGTAAGACTCGCCTTCTCTTTTTAGGTAGCTTCGCTCTAGCTTGTGTATGAGAATAGAAAAGGGCGAAATTGGACACAATAACCGGGACAGGTAGGGCTATTGTCAATACTCCGAGTAGGGCACATAAGGCTCCGACGAACATGCCTACGTAAGTCTTTGGAGTCATATCTCCGTATCCGACTGTAAACAAAATGATAATTAATTAAGAGTATATTCCTTCTATTATTCCATATAATATATAAGTATTTCCTATAACATAAAATTAATTCCGTTTTTTGTGTATGTGTGTTTTTTTAATTACAAACTCTTTTCTCTCTCTTTCTCCTTTATCTTAAATAAATAACTCTTCTTCGCTAATTAACACCTTCGGATAAATTAAACTTTTATGTCGCATTTTTCAGGAAAATTATAAATATTATTATAATAGGATTCTTAAAAAATGGAAAAAAGACGAGGAAAAACTTGTGTTAATAGTCTCCTATTTCTAGTACAATCAGGAGAAATTGATTTTTTTTCTTCTCTATTTAATTAGTAGAAAAGAATTTTTTCACTTTTTCTCTTCGTCCCTTTCCCTCTTTCTTAAATTTCTGTCTTAAAAATAACATATGAATACTAATAGTTAAAACTTTTTCCTCTCTTTCTTTCTCTCTCTCTTCCTGCTGAAGAAGTTTGCTAAGATTTAGTTAGATTTATTGATTTATATGTCACCGGTGTTTATAGACTGCTTTCCAAAGATTGATATTGTAAATATCTCGGAAGGTTGAATTGCATTCTCTACTGCCGATGACACTTGAAAATATATAATTATATACCATATACATATATACATTTCTTCCATCATGCATATAATGTACATATATAGAAATTTGCTTATTCCCCAATTTGTTCTCTAACGACCCCGGTACTATTCGAAATTCCAAGAAGGCAGATTGTAATCGGGCACCGTAAAATAGAGGACGTAATTTAAGAAACGGGACTCTTATCTCTTATTTTATCTTTATTCCTATCGGCAACGATCGAAAATTGAAACGTTCGAGTAGTCTTCAAACACGAAGCGGGGATATAGAAGCAATAATCTATCGTCTTTCTAACAAAAGAACACAAATTTCTTTTTCTTCTCCTTTTAATTAACAATTCATGATTTTCTTTTCAAAAGGTTTTCTCGCTATAGTTACACTCTTATTCGATATGTTTTTCAATCATTATTGAATAAGTTTAACCTTGAGACGAAGAGTTCGAAACGCCTTTGCCAACCGAGAGGGGAAATTTTTATTACTAATTATTTACATTAGAGATTATATGAAAAATAAAGATGCTAGCGTTATTAAATTATGGATGAGAGATAAAGGAATTCTTCGAAAAGTTTAAATTATGTGCTTTCATTTTTAAATGATTTGAGAATTGAGGCTGGGAGGAGCTTGAGGCTAAAAAACAAGTTTTAGCAGAGTATAGATAATAAATACGTCGAACCACGCCTATCTTTCCCTAATCGAAATGCTCTCGAGCAGTTCTTTCAGCTTGTAACCTCTAACCAGAGTATCTACAATGTTGGATGTTGGAAAATAATTTGTACAGCCAGAAAATACATTTGCCCCTCAGCAAAGTCATGCACAACAGTAACCCTAAACCTGATGGAAACCGAAATTTTTCTATATTATTTCTTCTTAATACGTATAAGCTTGTCAACCTACAAGCACTTTTTTGATACAACTAGACCTAGAAAAAGGAAATATATTTTCTACTCTCACAGTTCTCATTCTCCGCTGTTCTATCATTTTAAACTTTTCCTCCATTTTAACATACTGGTAGTATCAAATATTTGAGTGCACATACAGCCTACATTATACATATCTTTCTTTCATTTTTCTTTACATTTCTACAATTCTATTCACTCTTGCTAACTCCATTTCTCTCTCTCTCTCTCTCTCTTCATGTCTTTTTTTTACTTCTCTATTTTCTCTTTTATCAATTAGACAATAACCCGAGGGCCTTCAGTATTATTAAAAATGGTTTTAAAATATAGATGAAAGTTGGTCTTTGCCAAACCAGGTTAGATGAACCGCCAGGGGGAATAAAAAAGCGTTTTTTTATAATAAGAAGAGAGAGAAAAAGAGAGTAGGATAGAAAAGATGCTCCAAGTCTAAGAAAATGACGTAAGAGGGAGAGAGAGAAAGAAAGGGAAGATAAAGATAAAGAATAAAAGGCGTAGATACAGCTAAGAGAGAGTTAGATATAGATACACTTGATGAAGGGTAAATGAAAGATTATCCTTTTGAGGAGTTAAGGAGATTATAGTATTATACTGTTCAAACTAGAGGGGATAAAACTTACCCGTTGTCATGGTTACAATAGCCCACCACAAACCGACCGGAATGCTAGTGAAATCATTATTAGGATTGTATTGAATCCGCTCAGCATAGAATATCAGCGCTGCGAAGATAACAATACCGATGACCAAGAAGAAAATGAGCAGGAACAATTCATGAGCGGACGCTTTGAACGTATGTATAAGAATTTTCAAGCCGGGCGAATGCCTCGTTAACTTGAATAACCTCATTATCCTTATTATTGAGAAAAATTCAAGAATATCATTTGACTTTTCCATTCTAGTCAGCATAAAGTCCAAATAAAAGGACAAAGTTGCTACCATATCAATAACGTTGACCGGTGCTTTCAAAAAATCCAATTTACTAGGCGTTACTATAAAGCGGATGATAATTTCGAAGGTGAACCAAGCATTACACGCACATTCGACATAGAAGAAGCTACTGTGAGGTTCTGTCTTCTTCTTTTCCAATGTCCAAGTGAAATTACCGGATGAGTCTATTGAAATTGTCTTATTTTCGATGACTGGCACTCGCATGTTCGGATGAGTTTTTAGGCAAAATGAGAGAATTGAGACGATAATGAAGAACACAGAAACTACGGCTACAACCTGTAAAAGAAAGAGTAAATTTTAATATCTTTAAATGATCATACAACAAAGTAGTTTAATTGAAAGTTCTACGCAATAAATATGATTTTGATTATATGTAAAGTTAAACATTTGTCTTGTCTTTCCACTGCAATTCGTTTACATTTCTCTATTTAAAAACATATCTCAATAAAATTTAAATAAAGTCTATTAAAAATGTATCTCTTTTTTAATTGAAAATGTGACAACTGTCTATTTTTGCTTGAAGGATGCACGCTATACAAAGGCTAATGACTGGATTTCAGAATCTTTTCGTATAATATTCACGTTTGTAGATAGAAACGAACAGTGAGTAATATAATTAATATAATCTAATTACTTGATAAATACTGTAAGGATCGTATATATTTACAAGAAAGAGAGAGAGAGAGAGAGAGAGAGAGAGAGAGAGAAAGAGAGAGAGGGCGGGGTAGGGAGGGAGGCGGAAAGGGAAAGGTTTATCAAGGTGAATAGATTACGTTTTATATAAAAAAAATTCGATATAGTGTATACTATTGTATATAAATTTTAATTATTCCATCCAGTCACACTTCTTCAACTGCTTAACAATAAAGACAGTTACAATGTTCATTTCTTCTATTAAATTTACTGCAATTAGCAAAAAACAAGAAAGCAAAAAAAGAAAAACCTAAGAGAGAAACTAGCTATTTATGACATACAATTGTCTTTCAAGTGAATTGTAGACCTACAACACTTTCAAGATTTATACAATTAATCAATGTATATTAGCTGATTTATTTCTCTGTGCATTTGGTCGATTTTTGTCTGATTCTGCTGCCCTTCTCCTTACAAATACAGCATATATACTAATATATATATATATGTGCAGTTGATAGAACAACACTAAAACGTGTGATGCTAAAGTACTTTCCTCTTACTTTTGACATTTTGAACTATATATTAGATTTATATTGGGAGTATTTATTAGGGTCAGAAGGTGATATATTAGAGACACTTTTGCGGCTAATAATTTACACTAGTCATTGATATTTTTAGATTCTTACACAAAAAAATGATAAGTTGTATTATTAAAAGTTTAGCACAGTTGCCTATAATACAAAAGTGATTAGTAAATTGTTGATTAAAATCGATACAACGTAATTAATTTTAGCATTTCTAACTGTTCTTGTTAATTACAATGTATTTAAAAGGGTTGAAAAATACTATTACAAAAAAAATAGTAGCCCAATAATTTTACTAGTAAAATCAACCGTTCGTATTGTACATATGGTGGAATAGAGTTCCTAACTATAGCGATCCGTCTATATTCATATTGATCAAGAGTCACTAGCGTCTAATATATTTTTCTCATTGGTTCCACATCAGTTATCAGAGATCATTTAACAGTCTTGGGAATATCTGTCTTTTCTATACTTGTTAAATAATTCTACGTAGAATTTGACAACATTTCCCCCTTTCCTCTTGCCTCTTTTGTGCTCTTCTTCTCTCCCAGCCTGATTTTCACATTAATCGTTTTCCTTTCACTACCCTACATCACCAGGCCTGTATTCTACACCCTCGTTTCCTCTTGCCCTGTCCCTGTCAACAAACTACGGCCACGCCCCCTCTCCTTTTTTTTTCTTTTCTCTGGGTGTATGTCCCCCTATCTTCAAGTAAATCTGACTTTTTCTCTCGCTATCTTCCCTATATCGTATTTTATATCTGGCCTTTATCTATCTTAAGGCAGCGTAAAGCGAAGCTTTATTTTATAATATATCGAAATATACTAATATTTTTGTAACATATGTCAACTTTTTGAATAATTTAAAGAGTAATTGAGTTATTTATCATACTTTTGTCCATTATGTTAATCTAGCAAATTATTAAATATCAAATAATCAAATACCATCATATGATCAAAAAGAGATAAGGCGAGTGAATACTCTTTGGATTAATGGGAGAGAAAATTTATTACATCGATAACAAAAATTGTTTTATCTCTACCTTTTCGTTGTTAAATAATAGCATGGAGGTGAAAGTTATCGAGATTTGTGTAGATTTTTTCTCTTCTTCCGCCCCTTTCCGTTTACTTGCCTTCTTCTCCTTCCCTCTTCTCTTTTTTATCCGAAAAGGAAATCGCAGAGGAAGAGGGAAAGAAGACGGTAAATTGTTTTGGGAAACACGAAAAACAAAAGTGAAAAATCGATTGAGAAGAATCGATCTATTAGTTTGAGCACGCTATGCCATAAAAGCGCTGAATGTTTATCACTCTTGTGTATTTTTTCGTCAATACAAACAATTAAAAGTATATTGTTAATTTGTGAATAAGAAATCGTTACCTAACTGATTTATTAAAAAGTTATGATTTAAATTATGAAAATTCTTCATAGGATATACAGTATATATATATAGAGTTTATAGATATGTCTATGAATACGTGTGTTCTATAGACAGAGTCGTTCAATAGCGTTTAAGAAAAATGGATTAAAGAGGAGAAAAAAAAGACCATAGCGTATACTTTTAAAACGCTACAACGCTTGGTTATATATTTTCAAAGTAACTAAATTCTTTTCTTGACAATTAAGCAACATAAATCTCAAATTAAAAACACAAAAATGAAGAAATCAATAAATAACAACACCTCATTTAACTTTGACGTCAATTTAGAATAGTTAAATATTTTATAACCATTCTCCAAATTGCCCTAATTAGTGGTGGGTAAATTCAATACAAAAAGCCTCCTACCGATCAATCTTGTATCACACACAAAGCGATAAACAATAAAAAAAAAAAACAGTCGATACAGAAATTATAGAATGTTTCTGTACTTATTGTAAACAAACAAAACAGCTTCTCTTTAAACAAGGAAAAATTCTTCTGAAAACTCTCTAAAATAACGACAACTCCGACGATCTTCATCAATTATTCAAAGATTTACTCGGCGCTTAAGAGACGCTGATAGGGCTAATTTTGGCGTCTAGACCAGAAGCGCCTGGATCTCACCCTACCCCTTTCATCCTTTTTATTTATTATTTGTTTTATTCTTTTATTCAACTATACGTAGACGCCATTATTCGTCTATAATAAGGATTAATGTAATAATTGTACAAAATTCCGGTCTATTTATTTCAAAAGATCCGCAGAAGATTAATAACGTTTTTATAATATCCTTTTAAAGGGAAAGACATTGCCTTTCTACCTTAATTAACGGAGCGTAAGAAAATTATAGACCGATTATTCCAAAGAAGCGGTTAATTAAGGTTTTAAAAGAACATAAAGTGAAATTATTTTTCATACGAATCAGTTATTGTTTCATATAAAAAAAAATCTCTTGTTCTCCTCGCTAACTATAGATATGTAAAAATTAATTTCAAGGGACTCATCTTTCCTTCTCTTCCTCCTCCTCCTCCTCCTCCTCCTCCGCCTCTTCTTCTTCTTTTTCTTCTTCTCCTTCTTCTTCTTCTTATTCTTCTGCCTCTTGTACTTCAAATTTTCCCTCTCCTGTCCGTCTCTTTCTATGCCTAACCCCAACACCTCTTTCTCTCTCTTTTCGTCATTAAAAAAGTGCACTGTCAAAACCACTTTTCATCATTTCCCAACAATTTTTCTGACATTTTGCTGGAGCGCTCACTTTTTTGCAAATAGTTCTGCTATTAGGGCAATAAGGGTCAAAAACCTTCGAGACATTGCATTGCCAGATAATATGAGACTGGGGACAGAACGAAGAAAGGCTGCCAAGTAGAAAATATAATCTTTGTCAAAGAGTGAGAGGAATGAGAAATGGGCAAGAAAATGGGGAGAGAGTATCACGAAAAGGGTTATTCTTATTATCTAAAGCTCTTTAGCATATAGCCATGTCCCTTCTAAAGACAAGAGACTGAAAATACTATTTGAACATCACTCAGACCGGAAAAACCAATTAGGGTCAATATTGTGTAAAATATGTTTAGAATGGTTAAGGAGACAGACAAGTAGAGTGGGATCGGCTAAGAGAAAGAATTGTATCTCAAAGTTTGTCAATTACTCAACTGTCCCTGACCTATTTTTAAACGTCATTTTTCTATTCCCTTTACTTACTAAACAACTACTATTAGGAAAAGGGCGAGTTCAGGAATTGATCGTCACCCGTGGCCTTTTCCTTGCCGCAGGTGTTGGATATGGGCTCCTTATGAATATTGATAGAGGTCAGCTAGCAACCAATCACCTTCCGATTCATCTTGTTTGCTCATAAAGCAAACTCTATAAACAATAGGTGCTCATGACGTCACTGTGCGACGCCGTTGCTTAGGGCAACAATATGTATAAACGCCTCCTCGGACTACCTGACTTTAGTCGAGAGTTGTTTCCATAGTAACACCCCGGCAGTATGTCAGACATTTAAAAAAAACTCTGCAGTTTGTCATGACTGCTTAGAATCGATAAACGGAGAAGGCCGTCTGTTTTACTCAAAATCGTTAAATCGATTTCTGCTCTTTTTTTTCAGGGCGTCTCTTTTTTCCTGTCTGATAAAGCGATCGATAGCGACAGATGGCGCTATCAAAAAATTACGGATGTACTAGGTTGCAGTTGTGCCCCGACAATCAATTGAGCTAACTTTTGATTTAGATACAAAACATTTCCCTACTCTTTTCTCTTAAAAGGAGGGATAGTATTGTTTTAAATAGGCCTAGACTATTAATTTCGAGGCAATATCGGATGCTTCATAAGCCGCTTATTGGTTGGCGGCTAATGTAATTACTAATTTTCGCGTGTAATTATCTTCTGGTAGGCGACAGAAATTTTCGCACAAGGAACAGTTTTCTTATTGACTTATCTCCGACAGGATCAGAACGTAGATATTTGAGAAACGGTCTGAAAAAGTTTGTTGCAGAGGTTCCCAATCGAATTTCATAGCAAACATTGCAGTATATAAAAAAAATTAATCTAACGAAAAAAAACTAGGGTGTTTTTTTTTCCCTTTTCTCCCCTCTCCCTTTTTTTTTTTTTATCTTTCCGAAGATTATTCCTGTTATCAGCTGTCA